AAAAAAAAAATACTAAATACATGTATATAGTTCATCTCATTAATACATAATAATTTGGCTTTTAGGATAAGAACACCAGACAGTGAAAGAAGATGTCGCCTGATTTACCAAAGCACACCGTTCACACTCGTTAGTAATGGAAGCATCGACCAGTGGCCATCACAGTGATGGATGTGACCACCACACATCCCTGTGAAGTGTCTTGTCTTATAATTTCAATATGTAGTTTAGTATCATTCTGTGGTCATTGAATATCAGACACTTACACTATTCCAATGGGAATATATACCAGAAAGAAGAAATTTTACTGTGAGGCCATTTCGGCTGTCTATTTTAAACCAAATGTATATCACATTAAGTTGGTTCATTGCTCAACTAATATTGGTTGAATACCCAATTTGTGCCAGATTCTGTTCTGGGGACAGAAAATAAATCAGCCGTGCTGTTTGTCTTCACAGAAATTATAGTCTATCATGAAGACAGATGCTGAACAAATGTTAAGAACAGGTGTCTGGGTGCTGCTGCAAAGCAGGATGCACATGGCAGGGCTGGGTCCAGCGTGAGGTGAGACAGGCACTAAGGGGTGACATTTAAGGAGGCATTTGCATGACTCTGAGAGTGAGTGCCTCCTTGTGGGTTGCTCGCTAAGCATCTCCCTCTCCTCCCTCTAGTCCTGGCCCTGGCAATCAGAAAGGTTATAATAGGAGGGAAAACATTCCAGGTATAGCAGTGGGGGGGGGGACATTCCCTGGTAGTTGTTATTTGCTGCATCTTTGGACACTGAGCATCTGAGCCCCTTTCGACGTGGGAGTTATTCTCTATTCTTTGAATCTTGGTGGAGGCTGACCTCCCTCTACAGAAAGCACAAAAGGCAAATGTTCTTTCGCGCCACCTTAGAGTTAGCAGACAGATGCATGACCCAGGCTCAGCCAACTAGATGCTCCAACAAAGGACTTTGAATCTTAAAGGACTAAATACCAGCTCCAGGGAAGATGGAGAAAATATTCTAATAGTGGCAGCAGCAGTGGGAAGAGTCCAGGTGTGTTTCTGACGCCCGGTGCCCTGGTGGCTACACTGGTGGTAGGATCTTGGCAGTCTGTTTCTGCTGAGCACTCTCCCGTGGTGCTTGCAAGGCCAGTTTCTAGACTTCCAGTAAATTCTATGAGCTACATGTTTTCTTTCCAAGAAATGCCCTTTGTGTTTGTTTTATTTGCTCTCAGATGAACTCTAACATTACATTCAATAATAAATTTAGGCATTTCATCTTCAAATATGTTGAGGGAGCGTTGCCCTATTCAGTAGGGAAGCCTTGTGAGACCGGGTGCCAGGGTGTGGGGTGATATGGCCTGGCTGGGAGATTAGAGAAAGAGCAGCAAAAGTCAGGGTAGAGGCCTGGACCATGAGAAGGAGGAGGGAGGCTGCTAACGAGGGACTGAGCTGAGAGAGCAGCCCTGAAAATAGTGAGGAAAGTGAGGTTTGCACAAAAACACTGCAGAGGAAGAATCAACAGACCTCAAATGCAAAAGAAGAGCATCCAGTGTCATAAGTTTCTAGTCAGTAGACAGCTGCTGTCAAGTTCTTGAAAGACTGCCGGTATTCAGACAGATCCTTGTGGATTCCAAATACAGAACAAGGTCTTAATGTTGATAGGGAAAAGCCCCCACCCGGGGGCCCTGAGGCAAAATCCACTGCTGATTGGATACATGTGAAGCTTACGGCAGATTCTACTAATCCCACCGTTAATTGGATAATTTGGTGGTGCATGCTCATAGTTGATTGGTTGTGTGTGACCCAAGAAATATATAAGACTGGAGAGAAATAAGGAAGAGGAGCTCAGAATTTGTTGGTATGCCCCTCAGAGCCCGCCAGCGAAATAAAAGCTGATTCTCTGACCCTCTGTGTGCTGCTTGGTTCTTTCCCTGGTGAATCGCTGTAACACTTGCCGGAACAATGTAAATGTAACCAGAATTTAGATAACTCCAGTTTGAGTGCAAACAGCATTTTCCACCCCACCCTTCCCACCCACCCCCATAGCTAGATGTACTCTATAAGGTATTCAAATCCCTTAATGCCCAGATTGGGGAAAGTCCTTTCCTTTTGATTCTAATGTTCATCAGAAACCAGTTCCAGAATAAACACCTTCCAGCCCAGGGTACACATTCCCAGCTCCTACCCACCTAACCACAAGCAGGGGCCAGCTGTTTTCATTATGGAAAACTTTTTAAGGAGGATTATCACCATATTCAACCTCAAGGTCTCCATCAGAGTCATTTGAAACCACATTTTTAAAAAATCTTCTTAATTTTGAATCTTAAAAAGAAGCCCTTGGATATGTAAGACTCCCTTCCTTCAGGAAGGCCCCTGAGTTCACTCTGTACCCCTCTCTCCTCAGAACATCCACATCAGGAAAAGAGGAGCTTTAAGTAAGTCATGGAGAGTAAAATGGGGGTAGAAAAAACATCTGGAGTCCCAGATAATGGTAAAGCATGAGAACTTGGGAGGGAAGACCCGTGTGAGTGGGAAAGTGACCATTCTTGGAGTTCCCCTCTTCATATGGGTAGCAAATATTTACAGTGTTCCTGCTGTGTACCAGGCACCAAGGGTAGAATGGGGAGCGAAACCAATAAGGACCCTGCTATCATGAAATCCAAATTCTCTTAAGCAGACAGATAAAAAAAAAAACAAGTAAATGGACAAAATAATTACTGACTTTTGAGAAGTACTAAGAAATAAATTGACAGAGTGATATAAAGGACTTTGTTAGATACAATAGTTAAGGATGACATTTAAATTAGGCCTGGAGGATGGGACACAAACAACCACACAAGCATCAGAGGCACAGGGAATGGCATGCAGCAAGGCCCTAAGATAGGAAAGAGCTTGGGGACATCAAGGAACGGAAAGGAAGCCAGGGTGACCTGAGTGTGACAGCAAGAGACCAGAGAGGTGAGCAAGGCCTGGTCGGACAGGAGCTCCCAGTCTATGGTGAGGAGTCCGGATTTTATTCTCAGTGCAGTGGGAAGCCTTCGTTTGGTGTTAGATAGAGCATTGACAGGATATAAGTTACCCTTTGGCTGCTTTGAAGAAAATTAATTAGAGAAACCAGTTAGGAGACCATTGCAGAAGTTTCGACGAAGATGCCAATAGATGGAAAGAAACGGATTGTTTTGATACGTATTTTGAAGGTAGAACCGTAGGACTTGCTGACAGATTGAATGAAGTGAGGCAAGGTGAGGAATGGTGGATGACTTCTAGGTTTGGAGCCACTGGGGACATGCCATTACCATTTACTCAGAAGGGAAGTGATAGGGCAGTAAAAAGGCTGGTGAGGTGAGGTCCCCGCCAGGAGGTCCCTTCTGGATATCTTAGGCATCAAGCTGAGACGTCACTGGAGGGGACAGGTATACAAGTCTAGAGGTTACAGAGAGTTCAGGGTTGGATAAATGACCTTGGGAATGATCAGCACATAGAAGGTATTCAAAGTACCTAGTGAAAAAAGAGTGGAGAAAAGAGAGAAAAGAGCCTGGAAATAATTCCCAGCATTTGGGGAGGGAAGGAGGAGCCAGGAGAGAAGGCTGGAAAGGAATGGTCAGGCAATCAGAGGACAACCAGGAGAGTCTTGTGTCTTAGAATTCAAGAGAAGGAAGCATTTCAATGAGGAAGTCTTGGTCCCTCTGTCAAATACTTGCTCAGAGGTCAATAAGAGGAAAAGAGGGCTGCCTCTATCAGGTTTGGACATTGTGGATAATTGGGGATCTTTACTATAGAGAAGTTTTAAATGGCAGGGTCAGAGCCAAATTGAGTTGAGTTGAAAAGTGAATAAGAAATTAAAACCAGATAAAGTGAAGGAGGACAATGTTTTGAAAAGTTTTGGGTTTTTTTTAAGAACTGCAAAGAAATGGGGCATTGTCCAGACAGGAATATGGGATTAGGGATGTTTTGTTTTAAGATAAGAGGTACTAGAGTATCTTTGTATGATAGAAACGGTCAGGCAGAGAAAGGGAGAATGAAGAGAATAGTTGCAGGTCAAGTCCTTGAGTAGGGCAGGGGAGATGGAATGTGGACAAGCAAAGGGGTTGGTTTCTCGGGAGTAGACATCATCCTATCACTGAAAGTGGTAAAAATCTCTGTTGTCTCAGTTCTGGATCAATCCGGGAAAAGGATGAGCCATTGGTTCAATGTCCCACGGCCCCATCTAGGGAGGATGGAAGGAGATGGAGCAACGGTCCCCACAGGGCCTGATCCCAGCTCTCTCCACAGTGAGGAAAGCTTACACAAGCGGCATAATCTGGGAGTCCCTGGAGTGCAGGACCTTCAGGTATAATTGAGGAAGCCTGTGGTGTGAACGTAGAGAGAAGCAGCGGGCTAAGAATGGGATTTTGTGTGTTCATCACAGACTCATGCTTGCCTCCTTGGCTCCCCTGAAATGCCCAGAGTCCAGAGCCCACAGCCCCCCTCAGCCTTATGTCTCTAAACTCTAAAGTCATACTGTTCAGTACAATAACCACTAGCCACATTTAGCTATAGAAATTTAAACCTAAATTTAATTTAAAACTCAGTTCCTCAGTGGCACTAGCCACATTTCAAGCGCTCATTACCCATATGTGGCTAGTGGCTGTCATAGCGGACAACACAGACATGGAACGTTTGCGTCGTTGCAGAAAGTTGTATTGGCGGCGCTGGTCTAGAAGAAAATAAGATCAAATGGATAGGATGAACATCCTTCTTTTATATCCTCTGGGACCAGCTATGGGCCAGCAGGCTAGGAGCTTTGTGCAAGGCTGAGATTATTACTACCTACTTGTTCTTCCTAACACACATACATACATAAACACACACACACACACACACACACACACCACTACACACACACATACACCTTCCTTATTTACTTGTCTCTAAGTGTAACCAGGTGGAACTGTCAGATAGAAAAAGGGAACAGCCAGGAATGATTTAATAGGGATCCAATGATGTTGAGACTCAGGGTTGGAAGGGAGGTGTCAGACTGCAGAAGATGACGTGAGGCTTCCATCTGTGTTTGGTAATTCTGGTTTAACAGGTACGTTCTTGGACTCCACACAGCACTTAAACTCAGTTTGGCACAGGATGTAGAATACTTCACTCTGTTTACATGTCGTTCTGCACCTGCCTAACTTACTCCAACACTTCTTGACTGAAGGCAAAAGGGAAGAAGAAGGCAGAATCAGTCTTGAAAGAAGGCACAGGGCTGGGGAAGGGAGAAGCTAAGGCCCAGAAGAGAAGAGGCTAGTGAGGGAAACGAGGAGATCTGCAGGGAAGAAGTCCTTGCAAGCTATCCCCTAGGTCTAGGGGAAATTCTAGACCACTATCCATTCTTTCTCCATCTGTGTCCACTGTCAAGTCCTCCCAAAGGACCCCCCAAAGTCCTCCCCACTCAGTGGCATGGGGCCCTCTGGGCAACTTCCACTCATTAGCCAGCTCCTAGGAAGAGGCAAGTGTTGCCCCTTCTCTCCTAAGTTTTATCTCTCCCATATTATAAGGTACCCAGGTGCCCAGTATCAATTAGCCAGCTTTTCCCTTTGTTCTTTGGTACCTTCTCTGGCCATATCAATGAAAGGTGACAGCAATCTCAGATAAACCCATTTGAACATCCATGAGTCTTCTGGGGCATCTGTAAAACTCTCAAGAACATCACACTGCCTTCTTCTTCACAACATCCTAGGACTTCCCACTGGTCTTAACCACCCAAGAGAATTAGGAACAGCTGCTCTGGGGAACCTACAACCTGACATAGCCCAGATAATTTGGGGTTGCATGAAAAAGTGGAATCAGAATCCCCAATCAGGCCGGGCACCGTGGCTCACACCTGTAATCCTAGCTCTCTGGGAGGCCGAGGCGGGCGGATTGCTCGAGGTCAGGAGTTCGAAACCAGCCTAAGCAAGGAGACCCATCTCTACTATAAATAGAAAGAAATTAATTGGCCAACTAATACATATACAAAAAATTAGCTGGGCATTGTAGTGCATGCCTATAGTCCCAGCTACTCAGGAGGCTGAGGCAGGAGGATCACTTGAGCCCAGGAGTTTGAGGTTGCTGTGAGCTAGGCTGACGCCACAGCACTCACTAGCCTGGGCAACAAAGCAAGACTCTGTCTCAAAAAAAAAGAATCCTCAATCAGAAATTTGGAAGCCATTTTCACAGAGGCAACAAAAGATCAAAATTCAAATCCTCCCAAGGAATGTTTTTGGAAAAGCCCCCATTTCCTCCATACTCCATGCTCAAGTCTCTCTCTTTGCCTCAGGTCATCATGTCCAACTTTTCCACAGCTGACCAGAGAGAAGTTCAGAGAGGTCAAGTGATGAGCACAGGACAGATCAGTTGGTACCAGAGAACTCAAACTTTCCCTAGACTAGAGAGATCATTCAAAGGACTCCATGGAGCCTGCCAGGCCATCTTCCCAGCCCAAGCTGTCAGAGCCCCCAGAGTTCCCTGAAAGTGCCTCAGGTTCCCTGACTCACATCCCTTTGGGAGAGATCCTGGTTACCTGGGGTTACCTGGACCGGGAGCAGGGTAACAATCAAAACCAGGAGAAGGAGCTTCATGAGTGACGGGAGCTCAGGGAGGGACAGGAGGCTTCTGGACTGGTAAGATGGGGAGAGGACTCCATTCTGGGCAGTCCAGACTGGTATTTATTGCCTCAAGGAGCTTGGGAGAGCCATGATCAGTGAACCAGAAAGGGAACAGTCATTTGAGATCAAACAGGCGGGCAAGTAATCAACCACACTGATTAAAGAGTCTGGGAGAGGAAGAAGGGATGCTAATAAAGAGAAGATATAACCTTGCCTTTGAAGAGTTTTATAGCACAACTAGGGAGCCAACAAGGGGAAAATGTTATTATTAATTCATTTCTAATTAACAAGAAAAGAGAGAGAGAGAGACCAAGTAAGACAGAAAATGAGTGATACTTCTGTTTGCCTTGGGTTCTTTCCAACAATAAGGACATCTTAGGATGCCCCATATGTTGGTGGTTCATTGTAAAGATACCAAAGGAAGGACAGAATAGAGGAAAATATTTTGGCCAATAGCTCCATGGCCATCACCACTGGAAACTAGAGTGTCAGCATTCAAGGAGCAGATGAGCAGGGAAGCCACAGCCCTTCCTTTCAATAGTGCATATTTAATAGGAACAAGTGGCATCCTCCTAAGGGGACAAAGGAAAAGCCATTTATTACTATTGTGGCCTTTCTTATGAGGTGTGGTAGATTGCATTATTGACCCCAATGCTTTAACCCTATTTGAATCCATACATTTGCCAAGCTTTCATCCTAGGAGGAATGTATTTTGCTATCTCTTCACTTTGGTCTTGGCACATAATTTGCTTTAACCAACAACATAGGGACAGATGTGGCAGTGTGCCAATTCTGAGCCTAAGCTGTAAGAGGTGAGGAATGTTTTCACTTGCTTTTTTGTGCCTCTGCCGTAACCATGAGAACAAGATACCCCAGTGGCCCAGGGAGGATGAGAGATACGCGGGGTGGAGCCACTCCAGATGACCCGAAAATCTACGGTGAGAAACGGAGCTGCCCCAGCCACTCCAGCCTCGGGCAGAGCAATCCGGCCAAACCCCAGACACCTGCTGACACATAAGTCATAATAAAGGAGTGGTGTTTTAAGCCACTGAGTTTTGGAAATGTTGACCTCTTTCCTCTTTAATTTATTTGATTAAATAAGTCAAATCTTGATTAAGAACCTATTATGTACAGGTTACCCTCCTGAGCACCAGGAATATAGAAGAGTGTAGGATACTGTCCTCTGATAGCTAACTATACATTAGGATAAACTAGGTTAAGTTGCAGGAAAGAAAGAAAGAAAAGAAAGAGAGAGAGAGAGAGAGAGAGAGAGAGAGAGAGAGAGAAAGAAAGCAGGCATCCTGGTGGCTTAAAAGAACAAAGGCTTATTTGCCCCTCATGCCGCGCATCGAGGGTTGGCTGGGGACACTACTCGCACCTTCTCACTGTGGAACCCAGACTGACGGAATGGCCACTTGATTGTTGCTGGTCACCATGGCAGAGGAAAAGAAAGCTTTGGAGAGCTTTGAACGGGCCATTATATGCCCTGAGCTTGGAAGTAAAGTGTAACCACCTCATAACTCACTGGCTGCCACAGTGACGTGGCCCTCTCCAACCACAAGAGGGCCAAAAGTATGATTCTACAATGGGTTGAGAACGCAAAAAGCCAGAGTTATCAAAACAACAAAAGACAAGTGCTGGTGAAGATGTGAAGACTGGAACCCTTGCACACTTTGGATGGGAATGTAAAATGCTGTAGCCACTATGAAAAATGGTATGGAGTTTCCTCAAAAAAATTGAAAATATAATTCCCACATGTTCCAACAATCCCACTACTGGGTTTATAACCAAAGGAAATAAAATCACTATGTCAAAGAGGTATCTGCATTCCCATGTTCTTTGCAGTGTTATTCACAATAGCCAACATATGGATATGACCTAATTATCTGCTCATAGATGGATAGATGAGAACATGGTATATCATGCAACGAAATATTATTCAGCCATAAAAAAAAACAAGGAAATCCTCTCATTTGTGACAACATGGATGAACCTGGAGGACATTATCTGAAATGAAATAAGCCAGTCACAGAAAGACAAATACTGCATGATCTCACTTATATGTGGAATCTAAAAAAGTCAGACTCACAGAAGCAGACAGTAAAATAGTGGTTGGCAGAGGATAGGGGATGGGAGAAATGGGGAGATGTCAGTCAAAGGGTACAAACGTTCAGTTATAGGATGAATAAGTTCTGGAAATCTAATGTACAGTATGGTGACTGTCTTAGTACATTTGTACTGCTATGACAAAATGTCTGAGGCTTAGTAATTTATAAGAACAGAAATGTATTTCTCATAGTCCCGGAGCCTGGGAAGTCCAATATCAAGGGTGGCGAGGCCCAGAGTCTCTCTGCTTCCAAGATGTCTCCCAATTGCTGCATCCTCCAGAGGGGAGGAACATTGTGTCCTCAAGGGCACAGGGATGAAAGGGACTGAAACACATGGACTCCTTATATCATGCCCTTTTATAAGGGCACCCAATCCCATTCATGAGGCTCGAGTGCTCACAACTCAATCACTTCCTAAAGGCCACACCTCTTAATACTGTGGCATTGGGCATGAAGTTTCAACATGAGTTTTGGAGGAAACAAAAACATACAAACCATAGCAGTGACTACAGTTGACAACACTGTCTTGTACACTCGAAATTTACTAAGAGAGTAGATCTTAAGTGCTCTCACCACAATGGTTAAAAAAAAAAAAAAGATAACTATGTGAGATGATGGATGTGTTAATTAACTCAATTGCAGTAATCGTCTCACAATGATTATGTATATCAAATCATCACATTGTACACCTTAAATATATACAATTTGTGTGAGTTATACCTCAATACAAATGTAAAAAAAAATTGTTAAAGGAATAGATGACATTTCCTTTTTGAAAAAAGGAAAAGGATATAACACACCTAGCACATAGTAGGTCCAGTTTCCTCTCCTGTATATATCAATCCTTCCTTACCCACACCTCTTCTGTTTGAGCTTGATTAAGTATATATAGTAAGAGACAAGCGCAGAAGTCAGTGAAAGGTATTTTAATAAAGCTCAAGAAACTAATTAGGTCAGACACAGGGCAAGTTTATCTTTGTTTTTGTGGCCACAGACTTCAAAGCACTAATTCTTTTTAGTGACTATGTGTGGCTTGTTCTTGGGCTTCACGCAGCACAGTTTACCACTCGTGCAGAAAATATACACGCTTTCGTTACGGGTGCATTTGTTACGGCAGGAGCCACGAAAATCCCAGCATGATTCAGTGCTGCCTAATACAAAGAGAAAAAAGAAGAGAGTCCATATCAGTCGTGAGGGGAAACAGGTCCTGGATTAAGAAGACTAACAGAATGCCAGACAGAAAAAGGGGGCCGTAGAAAAAGGAGGAGTCACCTCTAGATATTTAGGGTAGGGAAATAGTCTGACATTCTCTCTTGACACTCCATCCCAACCAAAGCCCTCCATGATTGTTTTCTTTTAAGACCATGGACTGTTGAAACCCATAGACTTGGATTTGGACTCTGTCTGCACCACAAGCCAACTATGAGATCCTGAGCAGGTTACTTCATTTCTCAGTGGATCAGTTTCCTCTTTTCCAAAAAGGAGCTATAACACCTGCCTCAGACAGCTGTTGTGGGTATTAAATGAAATAGTATTAAAAAGCAAATCACTAGCATTAAATAAATTGAGATATGAAGTGATATTGAGACCTCAGAAAGGACTCCAAATTCTAAAAATCATTTCATAAGTAGAAACTTAACTAGAAGGAACACATGAGCAAATGAAACTGATAATGGCTTAAGAGAAATACACAGTGGCCAGGCGCGGTGGCTCGTGCCTGTAAACCTAGCACACTCTGGGAGGCCAAGGCAGGAAGATCACTTGAGCTTAGGAGTTCGAGACCAGCCTGAGTAAGAGCAAGATCCCGTCTCTACCAAAAATAGCAAAAGAAAAAAGAGTAGCTGGGCAACTAAAAATAGAAAAACTTAGCTGGGATTGGTGGTAAGCACCTGTAGTCCCAGCTACTCGGGAGGCTGAGGCAGGAGGATCGCTTGAGCCCAGGAGTTTGAGGTTGCTGTGAGCTAGGCTAACACCACGGCACGCTAGCCTGGGCAACAAGGCAAGAGCCTGGCTCAAAGAAAAACATAAAAAGACAGAAATACAGAGTGAAAAAGAGGATATTTTAATCAAAAGGGAAAGATGAGATAAATGAAAAGAAGGCCATTCTGAAAGCCCAGCCCCCAAAGGACGACATCATGGCCCGGAGTTGACACCGGCACTGCTGCTGCCAGGCCAGGAGGAAAAGCGGGGGGCACTTTCACACACCTCAAGCACAAACCCCACCACTGCCACTCCAGGCTACATGGGCTACAGCAAACTGGTCACCCCACAGCAACCTGCCTGCACTTCCCCCGCAGAAAGCAGCTCTGCCCTCCCCGGGAGGAGCCTGCAGCACAGCTTCCACTGCCCCCCCCCAGCATTCTGCCCCACCCCTGCCTATCACAGCCAATGCCTGAACACAGTATGGGAGGGCCTGAGGACAAGTCTGCCACCCAGTTCTGTCCCAGTACTCAAACACTCCATCCAGGGCCCTAGAGATTGCCCGGCCCTGTACAACACCGTTGGCACCTGAGTGTGCCTACTAGGGTCTGAGGCAGTCTGACTGAACCTGCTGATACCTCCACAGCTGGCGCCCACCCACACAGGCCAGCTGTGGGCCAGGGGAGGGGCCCGTCCAACCCACCACAGCCACTGCCACACCATTTTGGACCACTTGAGTTCCAGTGGGTTGCCCCACCACTGCCATTGCCATCTCCCGCATTACATCTGCTGCCCAGGGACCAAGAGCCAGGCCACATGCCCAGCCAACCTCTGCTACTACCAGCATTCAAACAAGCTGCCTGGAAGCCCAAGAATCACCTGCATGGACCCACTAACACTGGAGCCAGCATACACTGCTCTGGGGCTCAAGGGCAGGTATGCTCAGCCCACCACTGCCACCATTGGAGCCCCAAGACTGACCCACCTGGTATCCCAGTCCTCAGCAAAAATTCACCACAGCCTCCACTAATAACTGCACCCAAGACACCAAGGAAATCATAGATACCACTGACACCATTTACAGCCAAAGAAATCATACAGAGCATACACTACTGCATGTGCCCAAAATCAACGCCAAAGTGCCCTACCTAACTGACACCATAGATACATCTTCAGGAAAAGTAGTCGCCTATGAAAGCAAATTCAAAAAAATCAGAAGTGGTGACCATTACACCAGATGTGCAGATATCAATATAAGGACACAAGAAACATGAAAAAGCAAAGAAATATGATACCTCCAAAGGAACACAATAATTCTCCAGCAATAGATCCCAATCAAAAAGAAATTCATAAAATCCCAGATAGAGAATTCAAAATACTGATTTTAAAGAAGCTCAAAGAGATACAAGAGAATTCCGTAAAACAATACAAAGAAATCAGAAAAACGATTCAGGATATGAATGACAAATGTACCACAGAGACAGATTCTTTTAAAGACTCAAACAGAAATTCTGGAACTGAAGAATTTATTAAATGAGGTACAAAATACATTTGAAAGTTTCAACAATAGATCATGTAAAAGGAAAAATCTCAGACTTGAAGACTGGTCTTTTAAAATAATACAGCAAACAAAAATAAAGAAGAAAAAAATCAAAAGAACAAAACTGGAGGCATCACACTTCCCAACTTTGAAATATATCACAAGGCTATAGTAACCAGGTATTGGTATAAAATAGCAAGGTATTGGTATAAAAACAGACATGTAGACCAATGGAACAGAACAGAGGGTCCAGAAATAAATTCACAGATTTACAGCCAACTGATTTTTGATAAAGGCACCAAGAACACACATTGGGAAAAGGACACCCTCTTCAATAAATGGTACTGGGAAAATTGGATATCCATATGCAAAAGAATGAAACTAGAGCCCTATCTCTCCCCATATACAAAAATCAACACAAGATGTAAGACTTAAACATAAGATGTGAAACTATAAAATTATTAGAAAAAAATTAAGGAAAACACTTCAAGACATCAGTCTAGGCAAAGATTTCATGGCTAAGACCACAGAAGCACAAACAATTACAACAAAAATAGACAAGTGGGACTATATTAAACTAAAATGCTTCTGTACAGCAAAGGAAACAATCAACAGAGTGAAGAGACAACTTGTCCAATGAGAGAAAATATTTGCAAACTATTTGTCCAATAAGGGACTAATATCCAGATTATATGAGGAACTCAAACAGCTCAACAATTAAAAAAAGCAAATAATCCCCTTAAAAAGGGGGCAAAGGACATGTGTAGACATTTCTCAAAAGAAAACATACAAATGGCCAACAGGTATATGAAAAAATTCTCAACATCACTAATCGACCGAGAAATGCAAATCAAAACCAGTAGAAACTAGTATCCTTAGCATTCATATTATAGTCTTAAAATACTATCTGCCATTAAAATAAAATAAACCAGCGCTTCTTGAAGATATGGCTGATTCCAGTTCTTGCACAGGAAATTACAAGATGACTCTAAAAAGTTTCTGTTGTACCGGATACCCAGGAAGCTCTCAAACACTAATAGGGATACATCAAGAAGACTTATGAGCCAAATTGAAGAGGCTCCCACAGGCCAAGAATAGGACAATTTGTACTTCAATAAGGATATTAATTGCAATAGATTGAACTCATGGCTTAGAACCATGAACTTAAAGTAAATAATATTCTCGGGAGGCTGAGGAGGGAACCTAGAAGTTCCAGTCCAGCTTGGACAACATAGCAAGATTCCCTCTCTAAAAATTAAATAAATACATAAATAATATTTAAGTAAAACCTATTGCTCAACCTCTGAGGTGGAAGAAAACTAATTCATTATCTCACTAACTGATAAACAAAGATAAAGTCAAGTGTATATCCTGCTTTTCCTCTCTGAACTCTCTAAACCCCAAGGTAACCAAATAGTGGATGATGGGAATTATCTCTTTGAGAAGTAGCTCAACTAATAAATGAATGCTCTTCCCCACATATCTGCATGGCTCACCCCCTTCACGTCTTTGTGCAATGTCACTTTCTCAATGAGGCGTTCCCTTAACACCACTTTTAAAATTGCAAACCCACCCTGCTTACTCTGCTCATGTCCTGCCCAAGAGACTTGTAAGCTCCAAAAGGATGGGGATTTTACTTGTTTACTTGGTTAGTTGGTTGGTTGGTTGATTCACTGCCTTATCTCCAGCACCTATCACAGTGCCTGGCACATGGAATCTACTCAATAATACTTATTGAATGAATAATTATTTAATTTAACTGACATGTCCATTATCCCCTAAATTCAGCTGCCAGCACAGGAAGGAGAAAGTGTAGGATGAAAGTAGACATACTGAAAGACTAAACATTTACCCAAAGTAAAACGAATTAATTTAGGGGGCTGTTTTAAATCAGAAAAGATGAATACAATTGTCTTCTGAGTTTATATACATCCCCTGTGCTCTTTACAACTCTTTCCTACCAGCAGGATGGATGTTCCTGGAAACATTCAAACGAATTATAAATGTGGCATAAAGAAGCTACATTTGTTCCATATCAAAATTTCAATGTGTTCAACGTTGACCCCTCAATGTTGAACCTTGCCCCTAATTTGTTATTTCAAATTGAGAAATGAGTAAATTGAAACTCATAGGAACCAAGTGGCTTGCTGTGGGATCACAGAGCTCACAAATGGTGAGGCAGGTTCTAATCCAGAATCTGGGGGCTCTTCCCTCTTCCCTCCAGACAAATAGCATTTCACATTGCCACCTGTCAGCCCATCTTTCCAGAGCACCCTGGGATACCCTGCCCAAGACCTACTCTCCACCTCTGGCCCCTCCTCTGAAAAGGTCTAAGTTACCTGGAATGACCTGAGACAAGAGCAACAGCATAGCCAAAGTTAGCCAAAAAGGTTTCATGACTTCAAGTAGCCCACAGAGCAGTCTCCGGTCTGGCAAAGTGACAGGAAACAGGCGAGAGCTCTGGACTCTCTGCTCCATGTAATCAACTGGGAACTGTGTTGCCTACGCATGCCCCCAGCTGCCCACGGGTACAGTCTGCCCTGGGACAGCCTGCCTTCCTCATGCTCAGTCACCATCCCAACACCCCTGCACCCAGTGCGGGCCCCACACACCTGAGCTAACACGCCTCCCTTTGTCCACCTTCACCTTTTAGGGACCAGCAAGAATAAATTATACAACATCCAGAGGGATACTTTTAAAATATAGGTCAGCCCTTCTTAAAACCCACCTTAAAATCCCTCAAGACTCCACATCAAACCTAGAAAAAAATCCACAATCTTTGCTATACCCTTCAATGCCCTACATTATCTGCTCCAGACATCCATCATTATCATGGTTCTAATGCAAATTAAGCAAACTCCTGTTTTCAAATGCAGTTTTCCAATTTGGAAGCTGAGGAATAAAGAAGATCTTAGGGAGAATGTGTCTGTGAGATTATTTTCTGTCTAAGAGGTCCCGCTGCTGCCCAAAATGCTCAGTTTCAGGAAGGACTTTGGTACTGAGAGTGAGAGACAGCAGAATTGAAAATATTTAGCTCTTTATCCTGGCTGTTCCATTTAATGGCTGTGTGACTTTGAGAGAGTCACTTCCCCTCTCTGAGCCTCATTCTCACCAAAAAGTAGATTGGAGAAGATGAACTGTAGAGATCAACAGAATATTAATTTACTATGGTTCTCCGGGTGCTGAAAAGGCATAGAAAATGGAACGCTGCTGAACTCTAGTTTTTCATCCCCAACACGGGTCATGCTAATTAAGCTTACACCTAAGGATTCTTGGGGCTGCCCTTATCAGACTCCAGTTCTCTTTACCTACTCTTCCCTTGATAATTACACCCAATATGCTATATGGTCCTTGCAAACCACATTTTTTAGGCTTGCTCCTTGTATAGTCAAAGCACAAAAATTTGCTCTGGTTATAATATTCTACCCAGAACCCTTGAATGGGTCTCATCACACAAGAGTGTTTTGGGCATGGGATCCATTAGATACTGATGAGAGGGCAGAGAAGACCCTGTTCCACCTGTGTACGTCTGGACATACCCCAGACACCACAACCCGCCCATCGCATTAGGAATCAAAGGGCCAAATCTCACCAGGAATTTAAAAAAAAAAAAAAATTAAAGCGACATCAAACTACCATTCTTCACCTATCCAATTGGCAAGAAGCTCTTTTTTATAAAGATAATCCCAGAATTTCATAGGATCAAGAAAATAGCATTTCCATACTCTGCTTATAGAAGTGTAAGTTGGTGTAAACTTTTTGAAAGAAAGCAAATCAAAGGTCTTAACATTTGCACACTCTGCAATCCAGGAATTCTGTTTCTAGAGACTGTAGTGGCCACCTCCTTTCCTTGCTCACCCAACATTTATTCCACCTTCTTCTAGGGTCAGTCCCTTCATTTTCCTTTGGGGAACTCTCCTTCTCTCATTTCCAATTCATGGAGTTCAGGTGAGGCTGTCCTCATCTTCCTGGCTTCAAAAGTGGGCACATGACCCAGTGGATACATGAGCAGGTGCAGCTAATTAGAATCTCAGTAATGAGTTCAAATATGAGAATTTGTCAAATATTGAACCTTTTGCTGGAACTATTGAGCAAAAGGCATTTTCTAGTTCAACCTGCTATAACAAAATAGCACAGAAAGGGTAGCTTAAACAATAGACATTTATTCTCACAGTTCTGGAGGTTAGGAAATCCAAGATCAAGGTGCTGGTAGATTTGGTGTCTGGTGAGGGCTCTCTTCCTGGTATGCAGATGGTCACCTTCTTGTTATCCTCACATAACAGGAAGAGGATGCTCTGATGTCTCTTCCTCTTCTCATAAGGGCACTAACCCCATTGTGGAGGCTCATGACCTCATTTGAACCTAATTACTTCCCAAAATCCCCACCTCCCAATACTATCACATTAGGAATTAGGGCTTTAACATGAATTTGGAGGGCAGGGAGAACACAAACATTCAGCCCATAGCAGCCATCCACTGGAATTTCACTGTTGGATTCCCAGTCAATAAGCACCATCTGATTTGCAGTAGGAAGCTTGATGCTGAGGTTTAGAATAGTTGTGCTTATTCTTCTGACTCTATACGTGTATTTGATCAGCTAAAAGTAAGACTTTTTTGTACTTTCTGTAATAGATTGCAAAGGTGTCCCCCATATTTTGCAGCTCCTCCACATCAGGAGATGGAGTCTATTTTCCCACCCTTTAAATTTCGGCTAGCCTTGTGACCTGCTTAGGCCACTGAGACTTTAGCAAGAGGATGCAAGTAGAGACTCAAAAAGGACTAGATCACTGAATAGTTTCAACTCTGCCTCTCTACCCTCAATACAAAAATCCTCTATAGGCCAGGCGAGGTGGCTCAGCCAGTAATCCTAGCACTCTGGGAAGCTGAGGCGGGTGGATCACTCAAGGTCAGAAGTTTGAAACCAGCCTGAGCAGACCCCATCTCTACTAAAAATAGAAAGAAATTAATTGGCCAACTAAAAATATATAGAAAAAATTAGCTGGGCATGGTGGTGCATGCCTGTAGTCCCAGCTACTTGGGAGGCTGAGGCAGGAGGATTGCTTGAGCCCAGGAGTTTGAGGTTGCTGTGAGCTAGGCTGACACCACAGCACTCACTCTAGCCCGGGCAACAGAGTGAGACTCTGTCTCAAAGAAAAAAAAATGCTCTATATATCCATGCACTTTAGGCAGTGAGGGAGAAATCTCTTCTTTTAGAGAGAAAAGAATCTAAAACACACATTCTTCCTAGGAAAGAATGTATATCCTACCCACCCACCCCCCACCCATCCCCTAGCCCCCAGTTTAGAAAATTGCATTTTGCAATGTTTTGTAGTATAGGCTGGCAGGTATTCAAACAACCCAAACTAAGATAATACTACATTTTGCACCTCCCTCCCTTCCTCGTATGGAATTGAGTTACAGCTTGCCACAAACTTTTTTTTAATTTGATGAGGTTTGGGAGGTAGAAGCGAAGCAGCAGCGTTTGTGTTCTGAAAGGTGCGGTTGGTTAGAGGGCATGGGGAAGAGACGCCGGGGTGCCCGAAGCTTCGGGGCTGTCCTCTCACCTCTCCACTCCCTGCTCCACATCAGCTCTTCTTCTCAGCTGCCAGCCCTGCTGACCAAAGGGACCCCAGGGCCAGCTTCATTTCCCTATGAACCCAACAAACAGGCAGCAGCCTTGAAGAGCCAGTAATCTCCCAGGGCTTCCCGCTCCTCGTCAGTCCCACCACAGCCTGGACAGCTCGGCTTCCTGGGCGCCTGCACCCACACCCCGGCTGGCTGGCGACTTTTCTCTGATCTTTTGCAGGTCTTCGCTGTCCCAACATTGAATAGTACCTGATTCTTACATTAAATTCTTTATTCCATAATACTGATCGTGGTCCTGCTTCCTTGATTCTTAACTAATACCTGTTCGGAAAAAAATGAGCCTCCTTAAACATTATTGAAGAACACAACAATGGTGGGTGGCTAGGTTTCGGCACCGAGTCCCTTCCTAGATGCTGTTTCTTCCTTGCTTCCTTGTAAAGGTTTCAGAAAGAATTATTTAAACTTGCTGACCTCACTGGTTCACTTACCTTTCAGTTTGCAACTCCATTCCATAGGTTCTCTGCCCCTGCAGAGCTGGTTTCCACTGTTATTTTTGCCTGGAGTACCCCTACGTGTGCTTTTGCACCCTCCACCTCTGAATCCGGCAGGGTCCAGCCAGGAAACAGACGCCCCACAGGCATTCAGAGCAGAGGGTATTTAACAGAGGGAATTGGTGCACATTCTTGGAAGGCTGAGAGAACAAAAAGAGGTCCCCGAGGAAACAGATGTTAGTAACTCCAGGATGCAGCCCCCACCCTCGAGGGTCGAGGGAAATAAGGAAAAGGGAATGAGTTTTCAAACCCTGAGTTCAGAGGAGGGACGCTGGGTGGTGGGTTCGCGGGTCTCCGAGGAAAGGGCACAGCCCAGGGCCAGAAGGGTGACCCGTGGGCACAGTGCCCTGCGCTGTCAGTGCCGGCAGAGGGCCGGGCGCTTGGAGTGGCATCTCTTACTGCCATTTTCCTCCCAGTGTTTGCTGCAGCTACGTCATATTTTGGATTTGAACACCAACAGGAACCTTTGTCCCGACATTGCTCTGCCTGGAACGCGGTTTCTGCACCCTGCTCTGGCGCGTTCCCCGCGGGTCCCCCCTCTCCGGAGGCCGTGTCTGTGGCGCCCCCTCGCGGTGCCTTGGCTCGGGCGGCTGAGGGCGGGCGGAAGGACAGACCGAGGCTCGGCCCTTGGACCTTGTTGGCTCCGCTCTCCCTACTGACCCACAGGACCAAAGGAGGCGTGTCCGCTCGGGGGCGTGGGGGCTGCAGGGGCGGCTGAGCGCGGGCGCGCGCGCGGCTGATCCCAGGGCGCGGGAGCCAGGGCCAGGCACGCCCCTGTCGTCGCATCCGATTTGCGGCTTCGCCTTGAGCGGTCTCCAGCCATGAAGCTCCTTTTGCTGACTTTGGCTACGCTGTTGCTCTTGTCCCAGCTCACTCCAGGTAACCCGGACCTCCCCCAGGGAACGGGCAGTTTGGAGACTGAGGCCTGGTCAGGGCACCTCAGCAGGGCGGGCTGCGGGTCACCATTCCGAGCCACGTTTAGGAGGCGCCCTCACCAGCAGCAGGTGCCAGGTGTTAGTGCCAACTACAACTACAACTACACTCAGCACTCCATCCCTCCTCCCCCTGCTCAGTTCCAGGGAGACGTGCAGGCGGTCTGCAGTGTGAGGAAGAGTGGAAGCGGTGGGCAAGAGAAGAAGGCAAGAGGAGAGGCAGTAGTGGCGCTTTTGTGGAACGGTCTCCAGAATGGTCTAGGCTGCCGCTGCCTCTGTGCCAGACTCTGTATTGGGAGTTAGGACCACAGAGATAAATGACATGGCCCTGGGGGAGACAGTTAAACAGCGCTTATAACCCAGGGTGACATCACTGTGACAGAGGGAAGCCAGGGGGCAGGGTGCACATGGGAGGGACCAGCCCAGCCTGGGGGTCAGGAGAGTCCTCCTGGAGGGATACCCAAGTTCTCCTGCAGGGATACCCCAAGTCCTGAGAAGTGAGTAGCAAGTAGAAAGGCAAGGAGAAGAGGTGGAAGGAGGAAGGGTGTCCCAGGCACAGAGGTCAGCTCGTGCAAAGGTCCAGACGTGGGAGAAAGCATGGCACCTTCAAGGTAGGGGCACAAAACGGAGGAGTGGGCTAGGGGCGCAGCAAGGGGTAAAGCCGAGAGAGCATATGAAGTCCAAGTTTGGACCTTGAACCCCAGGAGAGGCAGCTGTGGGAAGGCTTAAGCAGAAAAGGGCCCTGGTCAGATCTGCCCATCCCACCAGTCCAGCTTGAGCTACCTGCCCCATCCTGCTCATCTGGCAGAAGCTTCTGCCTGCCCCAAGGCTGTTAACCAAGCTTTCCACAGAGTCAGATGTGTGAATTTCCTAAACTAGCTGGCCTTGGTCCTAGTGTCTGCGTGTGGCCCTGAAACACCACTCACCTGGGGCAGAAAGGAAAACCCAGAACCCAGTTAGAACCTGATCCCCCATTTCCTAACTGTATGACCCCCAACAAGCAGCTCAGCTGCTCAGAGTGTCAATTTCCTTATTTGTCAACTGCTATGACAACATCAAATGTGTAGTAAGATCTGGATAAGGGAACAATACTGGCTACACTGAAATTTTTGTGAGCAAAAAAACAATGTAATTTGTATATTTTCTATAACTCATCTGAACTTTCCCAGGAGCTTCCAACCTGAGGTGGGAGAGTTGGTGGAGGGAGGGGCAGGAGAAGGCACACAGGGGCTGTGCCAAAACTCAGCAGTGAAATATCTGTCTTTTCTGGGTGAAAACAATCTCCAAGTTAATTCAGTCTCTTTTGACTAAATATTCGGTTTTTCAGCATGTCTTCTTTCTTCCATCCCCTCTTCTCCTTCCCAGGAAAGCATCTGGGTTTAGGGAAAAGCGAGTTGATATGTCATCAGTTAATTAATTTTTTCATTCAGTCAATACGGTTGAATTGATTTCGTGTTCCAGAGGCAGGGCAGTGAACAAAACAGAACAAAACAAGATGAGCAAAATTTCTGTCCTCTTGGAGCTTACATTCTGCTGGAAGATCCAGACAATTTTTTTTCCTTTTTGAGACAGAGTCTCACTTTGTTGCCCAGGCTAGAGTGAGTGCCATGGCGTCAGCCTAGCTCACAGCAACCTCAAACTCCTGGGCTCAAGCAATCCTCCTGCCTCAGCCTCCTGAGTAGCTGGGACTACAGGCATGTGCAACCAGGCCTGGCTAATTTTTTCTATATATTTTTAGTTGGCCAATTAATTTCTTTCTATTTTTAGTAGAGATGGAGTCTCACTCTTGCTCAGGTTGGTTTCGAACTCCTGACCTTGAGCGATCCTGCCGCCTTGGCTTCCCAGAGTGCTGGGATTACTGGCTGAGCCACCGCACCTGGCCAGATGCAGAGAATTTTAAAAATAAGTGAAACATCTGCTACATGATGCTGACCAATACAATAAGAAGAACAGGTGGGAAGGAGGACAGCGAGTGTCAGGGGGAGATGATTTGCCATTTTTAAGGTGGTGCTCATGAAATGGCTCACTGTGACCTGAGGGAGCATAAGGGGTAAGCCATGTGGATGTGGAGGGAAGAACGTCCAAGCTGGAGGGAACAGCAAGGGCAAAGGCCCTGGGGTAGGAACATAAGGAGGTGGGGTAGGACCCTGTGCTGGCCCTCACTGACTTCTGGGATAATGTCCCTCATTGGGTGTGGCTGAACTGTCCTTTTGCTACTGGACCCCATGGCTGATGAAATCTCTTGGCCATGTTGAGGGCCCCACTGACTCAGCCCTTCATCTCAACCAAATCTTTCATCTGGTTCCTGGATTAAGGCTATTCACACCTTCCCTTACTGGCTTCTGCATTTTGTCACTGGTTTTCCTATCTCAGGAACAAGGAAACTTGGGGACCTTCTGGATCTATGTTATGCTACAGGAGAGAGATGTTCAGCCGCTTCCCTCAGCCATTTCTCATCCCCTTGCAGGTGGCACCATGATAGTCTGTCTCCGTGCTGAAGATATGAATTCCTCTAAAGGCCGGGCGAGGTGGCTCACGCCTGTAATCCTAGCACTCTGGGAGGCCGAAGCGGGTGGATTGCTCAAGGTCAGGAGTTCGAGACCAGCCTGAGCAAGAGCGAGACCCCATCTCTACCAAAAATAAAAAGAAATTGGCCGGGCGCGGTGGCTCATGCCTGTAATCCTAGCACTCTGGGAGGCCAAAGCGGGCGGATTGCTCGAGGTCAGGAGTTCGAAACCAGCCTGAGCAACAGCGAGACCCAGTCTCTACTATAAAGAGAAAGAAATTAATTGGCCAACTAATATATATAGAAAAATTAGCTGAGCATGGTGGTGCATGCCTGTAGTCCCAGCTACTCGGAGGCAGAAGGATTGCTTGAGTGCAGGAGTTTGAGGTTGCTGTGAGCTAGGCTGACGCCACGGCACTCACTCTAGCCTGGGCAACAAAGTGAGACTCTGTTTCAAAAAAAAAAACAAAAACAAAAAATGAAAAGAAAAAGAAATTAATTGGCCAACTAAAAATATATAGAAAAATTTAGCCTGGCATGGTGGTGCATGCTTGTAGTCCGAGTTACCATGTTTCCCCGAAAATAAGATAAGGTCTTATATTTATTTTTCCTCAAGAAGACACCCTAGGGCTTACTTTCAGGGGATGTGTTATTTTTTCTAAGTACGGTATAACAATCTACAATTATTCAAATATAGTTAAGTCATCTTATTCTGGAACATCATCATAACTCTACACACCCCGAATTCCATCCTGAATTTCTTGTGACTCTATTTCCATTAGAATCATTGGCCCCAATCTCTCATGTGGAGCAATAGAGCTCTCTTGGGGCAGATGAGAAGGGCTGCTCATCTTCTTTACCGCTCCTTGACGAAATGCATGGGTTGTGCAGATACGCTGCGTAGCCACGCCCATCACTAGGTCTTATTTGGGGGGTATAACTTATATTGCACAAGTGCTTAGAAATCCTGCTAGGGCTTATTTTATGGGTAAGTCTTATTTTCAGGGAAACATGGTACTCGGGAGGCTGAGGCAGGAGGATCGCTTGAGCCCAGGAGTTTGAGGTTGCTGTGAGCTAGGCTGACGCCACGGCACTCTAGCCTGGCAATGGAGTGAGACTCTGTCTCAAAAAAAAAAAAAAAAAAAAGAATTCCTCTAGAATGCCAGCAACTTCCCTGAGCAAATGAAGAAACAAATAGCGTTACTATAGAAGTAAGGGGAAGGGGAGACGAAGTACAGTGTAAATGAAGCAGTGTTTGATAGACTTGAAGGCAAGGCAGGGCCACAGGGCAGTGCATAAGGGGTTAACGTCCGGAGGAGGCTGAGAAATGGATTCAAGGTCCCACTTCCGTGGAAAGTACAAAATTAAGAGAGACATGAAATTTTGTATCCCAAAACCCCTTATCTGACACTTTGCACCTGGCTCTGAAATCAAGACTGCTTTTCTGTATTAAAAGACTCATTTCCCTGGGAAGAATATAATGTTCCCTTCTTTTGATATGACTTCAAATACAAAGTTTCTGACAGTCATGACTTAAGAAAAGAGCGTTTCTCAGCACTTCGTTCTTTTGTTAGTTAACAAAAGCAGTTTCACAGTTTCGGACTGGCTATCTTGACAAGATAGTCTAGGCTCATCTTGTACAATTCCTAAGCCAGATCTTGAATTAGTTCCAAGGCTTACAATAGAAATCTTTACTTTATCACAGTCTACCTTCCAATTATAGTATGCCAGTTCACAGGTAGTGTAAGAACATTAAAGCACTATAGTGTACTTCCATTTCACTCTCTCAGGCTTTTTTTTTTTTTTTTTTTTTTGAGACAGAGTCTCACTTTGTTGTCCAAGCTAGAGAGAGTGCCATGGCGTCAGCCTAGCTCACAGTAACCTCAAACTCCTGTGCTCAAGCGATCCTCCTGCCTCAGCCTCCCGAGTAGCTGGGACTACAGGCATGCACCACCATGCCCAGCTGATTTTTTCTATATATATTAGTTGGCCAATTAATTTCTTTCTATTTATAGTAGAGACTGGGTCTCGCTGTTGCTCAGGCTGGTTTCGAACTTCTGACCTCAAGCAATCCACCCGCCTCAGCCTCCCAGAGTGCTAGGATTCCAGGCGTGAGCCACCGGGCCCGGCCTCTCTCAGGCTTTGTGCTGTTGTCTTACATTCACTTCTGCCCATGCTATAAACCCCACATGTATTGCTGTTATTTTACTTTAAGCATTTATCCTTTAAAGAAAGGAGAATGGAAGTTGTTTACATTTACCACATATTCATCAAGTCTGCCTCTCTTTACTCCTTTAAGTAGACATTCAGATTTCCATCTGGAATCATTTTCTTGTGCCTGAATAACTTCCCTTAACATTGCATGTAGTGAAAGCATTCAGTGATAAATTTTCTCAGTTTTTGAATATCTGAAAAAGTCTTTATTTCTCCATTTTTAGGGGATTTTTGTTGTGTAAAAAATCTTGGGCTGACTTTTTTTCCTTGCATTACTTTAAAGATTTCTCTCCACTATCTTCTAGTGTATAGTTTCTGACAAGAAGTCTTCTATTATTTTTATCTTTTTTCCTATGTAATGTGTCTTTTCTTCTGGGTGTTTTAAGATTTTTTCGTAAACATTATATTTAGCAATTTGATTATGCCTTTGCATGCTTCCTTTTAGGTTTTATTCAACTGGGAAGTCAACTGGTTGGAGTTCACTGGGGTTCTCCTTTCTATGGGCTTAGAGTTTTCATCAAACAAAATTTTACGGCCATTATTTCTTCACATATTTTTTCTGTTCCTATCCTATCCTCTCCTTTCATATAAGTACCACATGCTAACCGATTGCACCACTGGAGCTCCATCACTCCTCTCCTTTTGATACTCTAATTACATAAATGTCAGATGGCTTGATATTGTCCCTTGGGTCAATGATGCTCTGTTCTTTTATATTTTTTTTTTCGGTCTTTTTTCTTTCCATGTTTCATTTTGAATAGTTTCTGTTGCTATGTCTTCAAGTTCATTTACCTTCTCTTTTTCACTCTAATCTACTGTTAATATCACTATATTTTTCATTTAATATTTAGTGTTTCTTCTCAAGTATTTCTAGATGAATAATTTTACATCTTTATTTCTTCTCATCCTTCTCAGGTTTCCCTGTACCTTCTTGAGCATTTAGAACATATTCATCATAGCTGCTTTGACATCCTTGTTTGCCAGTTTTATCATCTTTATGATTTCTGGGTCAGCTGATTGGTTTTCTCCTAATTATAGGCCATATTTTTCTCTTTTTTTTTTTTTTTTTGCATGCCTGGAAAATATTTGGATGCCATGCACTGTAGATTTTCTACTTTTGTTTATTGTTTTTTGCTTTAGAGATGGAGTTCCACTTTGTCACCCAGACTGGAGTACAGTGGCACAACCATAGCTCACTGTAACCCTGAACTCCTAGGCTCAAACAATACTCCCACTTCAGCCTCCAAGGAGCTAGGACTGCAGGTGTACACCACCATGCCCTGATAATTTTTTTTATTTGTTTGTGTAGAGATAGTGTCTCACTATGTTGCCCAGGCTGGTCTCAAACTCCTGGGCTCAAGTGATCCTCCCTCCTCTGCCTCCCAGGGAAGCCACCACACCCAGCAGATTTTACATTTTTGGTTCCATATTTTGTTGTATTCCTTTAAAGAGTGTTGGATTTCTTTTCTGTAATACAATTAGGTTAGTTGGAATGAGATGAATATTTTCAAGACTGACTTTTAAGCTTTTTCAGAATGGGTACAGGGCATCCTTGTCTAGGGCTAATTTAGCCCACTACTGAGGCAATAAAAAGCCTTCTGAACAATGAGTGCTGCAAATGTTACAAGGTATTTCCACTCAGGCAGGTGAAAAAACAAGCTATTCCCAGCCCTACGAAGTCACTGGGAATTATTCTACCAACGTCTTTTTGGCAGTTTTTTTCCAAGGCCTTTGGTGTTATAGTTTCCTCTAGCACATGCACAAATAAGTACTCAAAGACTAGAGGATACTCTCTGCAGATCTCCATGGTACTCATTCATGCTCACTTGCTCGCTCTCTCTCTCTGTCTCTCTCTCGAGGAACCACAAATTCTAGCTGAGTTGGCCTCCCTGAACATCAATTTCTATCTCCTCAATTCACTCCATTCAGCAAGACCACTGGACTCTGTTTGGGCTCCCCTTTCTTGCAATATAACCCAGAAACTGCTTCTGAGCAGTAAACTGGTGCAATCATAGGACTCACTCCATTGCTTCCCTTCTCTCAAGGATCACGGTCGTGTGCTGCGTGTTGCCCAGTATCTGAAAACCATGGTTTCATATACATTTTGTCCTATTATCTTATTGTTTAAAGCCAGAGGGTAAATATGGTCCCTGTCACTCCATCTCAGCCTAAAGAAGTCCCGTGTCTTATAATTTTTACATTTTTTCCTCTTTTTTATCTTCTATTTCTCTTAAAACATTGTCCACTGAAATTATTTCTTTCAGGTTAGATTTTTTCTGAAAAGATTTTTTTCCTTTATTCCTAATTGTTTCTGTCCCCTTATTTCTGAATTTTTTTTTTTTTTTTGAGACAGAGTCTCGCTTTGTTGCCTAGGCTAGAGTGAGTGCCATGGCATCAGCCTAGCTCACAGCAACCTCAAACTCCTGGGCTCAAGCAATCCTTCTGCCTCAGCCTCCCGAGTAGCTGGGACTACAGGCATGCGCCACCATGCCCGGCTAATTTTTTCTATATATATTAGTAGAGACGGGGTCTCGCTCTTGCTCAGGCTGGTTTCCAACTCCTGACCTCGAGCAATCCGCCCGCCTCGGCCTCCCAGAGAGCTAGGATTACAGGAGTGAGCCACCGCGCCCGGCCTATTTCTGAATTTTTTTAAATGCTGGTAGATTTTATTTTATTAAGTATCCACAATCATTCTCTGAAATAGGTGATTTTATGCCTTTTTATATATATATATAAGAGAAAAATGAAGCTCTGTGAAAGGAAGTAACTTGCTGAAGATCCCCCAGTTTACATGTGCTAGCAGGGGTCCTCAAACTACGGCCTGCTGAGGACATTTATCTGGCCTGGCCTGCCGGGTGTTTTTGCCACCACTGCCTGTCCTGCTTAGCAGCCAACTCGTCCGGGGCCCACAGTGCGCATGTGTGGAATGTGCACCGCCGCACTCTCCAACGGCCCTCCAACAGTCTGAGGGACAGTGAACTGGCCTCCTGTTTGAAAAGTTTGAGGACCCCTGTTAGAGCCAGGTTTCAAATCCAGGCTCCCAGAGCTTCAATAGTTCATGCACCCCTGATCCTCTGAGAGGGACATCCATGGAGGGCAGGGATCAGGATTGGTTGTCCAGAGAGGATCACCCCTACAAAGCTCTCCCTCTCTGTGCCCCACCCCTTTTTCTCTGTTTTGGCCCTCTGTCTCAGACCCGGCAGAAGGAACCAGTGAGTGACTCAAATAGAGGTTAAAGGCTTCATTCCGCTGACGTCCACCAAGGCAACACTCTCAGCCAAAGCAGGATGGGAGTGTTTACAGAGAAAAGAAGGGTACATGTCCTTTGGTTTGCCTCAAGTAGCAGGTTTTGTCTAACTCTTGCCAAATTACAGTTGGAATAGTTGGGCATTGCTTCCATGTGTCCTGTCTCTTGCTCAGGATGGTGGGTACAATCCCATCCTGGTGACAGTCAGAACAGCTCTTTCAAGGGTAGCTTTTGAAAGTGTCCTGGTTTGTGGCTTAGTCTAGATTCATGGGTAGGGTGGGAAGCAAAAAACTGGGGTAAAGGTAAAATATTGAGGGGTAGAAAGAAGAGGAAGGGAAACTGGAGATCTCTATGGTATCTGTGTTAATCCTTTTATAGCCTTTCACAACCCAGAGCCCATCTCTTCTTAAGTCTGACACCGTTTCCCTTCTTCTTTCTGCTTCGTGTCAGGTGGCACCCAAAGATGCTGGAATCTTCATGGCAGATGCCGCCATAAATGCTTCAGGAAGGAAAGGGTCTATGTTTACTGCACAAATAGTAAAATGTGCTGTGTGAAGCCCAAGTACCAGCCGAAAGAAAAGCCTTGGTCATTTTAGGTGCTTTGAAGCTTAAAGCCATGAAAATGCAGATGAAGCTGCCCTGAATCCGACCCCGCTGGATGCCTGAGCTCTACCAATAAACACCTCTGGATGACCCGTGTCTGCCTGCCAGTCTGCCCAGCAGTTCTCAGGAACTTCCTTTCAGGGGGTTTGGGATGTTTGCATAATAAAGCATTATTTGCCCTTTTTTAAATCGCGCTCTCTCACAGTCTATAGTGGAATTTTCTGGAATCCACATATGATGACATCATAGTTCTGGCAGCTAACAAAATATGTGCTTATGTACTCCTGTGTTTCTAGAATTCTTTAAGTCCAGAGGCTTAAGATATAAGTATGTTCGTTTTCAGAGGTTAACTTAGTTTGTTCTCGGTAACTCTGCGGTTCTTTTACAAATTAGTTTTGGTTATATTATTAATCTCTGTGCTTTCGTTATCACCTAATAAGTAATCACTTTGAAATTCCAAAACTTTCCTTGCACCATGAGAAATAAGAGCACTTTGTTGCCTTGGTTTGCAGAAGTATGTTAACAAAGAGTCCCAACTGCCTAACAGAGGAAAAAGTGTTCTCTCCCTGAGGAAAAAATAATATTTATTCTAGACTTTACAGTTATTTTAAGTACAATTTCTGACATATATACAATTTAAAAAATTACAAAACAAGCACAGAAGCAGGACAATTTGACCCATAATCAAGAATAAAAATAAACCTATAGCAGCAGACTCAAAGATGGCACACTGTTGGAATTAAAAGATAACTTTAAAGTAACTATTATAAATATGTTAAAGAAATTAGAAGAAAAGACTGATAAAGTGGATGAAAGGACGGAGAATTTAAATAAATATACCAAAAAATAGTGTATCAGCTTTCTATTGCTGCATTACAAAACCACTCCAAAATGTGATGGATTAAAATAACAACTATTTATTATTTCTCACAGTTCTGTGCATTGTGAAGAACCATTGAGTGGTTCTTCTGATAGTCTCACATCAGGTCACTCATGTGACTGCTTCTCTCTGCACATGGTCCGTCCACAACAAGGAAGTTAACCTTGGCTTCTTGCGTGATGGTCCAAGAGGGCAAGCCTTAATGTGCAGCATTTCTCAAACTTTTCTCTGTAGTACATTTGCTGAAGTCTCATTGGTCAAAGCAAGTCATATGATCCAGGGTCAATGTGGAAGAGGACTACACCAGGGCATGCACACTAGGAGGCTTGATTCATTGGAGAACCATCAATGTACCAGTCCACCACAAATGGAATCTCTAAGAATAAATTGGGCCCAGTCCCCAACCCCGGGGCAGCAGACCGGTACTGGTCTGTGGCCTATTAGGAACCAGGCTGCACAGCAGGAGGTGAGTGGCAGGCAGATGAGTGAGCGAAGCTTCATCTGTGTTTACAGCCGCTCCCCATCGCTGGCATCACCACCTGAGCTCCGCCTCCTGTCAGATCAGCAGGGGCATTAGATTCTCCTGGGAGTGGGGAACCCTACTGTAAATTGTGCAAGCGAGGGATCTAGGTTGTGAGAATCTAATGCCTCATGATCTGGGGTGAAGCTGACGGGGTGATGCTAGCGCTGGGAAGGGGGTGGGGAGGGAATTCCTGGTCTGTGTATGACTTCATACAACCGCATATGTCTTCACTTCAGCCAAGGCCATGAGCAGGGCTGGAAGGGTATGAATGGATGGAACACGCACAGTGTCCTGTGTATTCACAGTTCCAGGTATCCTTGCAATAACCTTCTTTTTTTTTTTTTTTTTTTAGGACAGAGTCTCACTTTGTTGCCCAGGCTAGAGTGAGTGCCGTGGCATCAGCCTAGCTCACAGCAACCTTAAACTCCTAGGCTCAAGCAATCCTACTGCCTCAGCCTCCCAAGTAGCTGGAACTACGGGCATGCACCACCATGCCCAGCTAATTTTTTCTATATATATTTTTAGTTGGTCAATTAATTTCTTTGTATTTTTAGTAGAGACGGGGTCTCACTCAGGGTGGTCTTGAACTCCTTACCTCAAGCAATCCACCCACCTCGGCCTCCCAGAGTGCTAGGATTACAGGCGTGAGCCACCACGCCTGGCCGCAACAACCTTCTATAGGAAGGAATATGTCTGCTCCTCTCTCCATGGTATGCAGAGCCCCTAGGCTTGGAGGGAAATGAACATCACCAAAATGCAAGATCTGGGCCCTTTTAGTGAAATTCTGCAGAAGGGGACAGCCCCTCTGTCCCTTCATGAGGTCCCACTAATCTGTTAGTGAGAGCTTGACATTCATTGGGCCCTATCAGACCAGATGCCACTTTCTTATAATAAATTTTTTGCAACGCCCCCTTTCTGTCCTAAAATAAAATTCATAAATATTGTAATCTTTCTCACATGATTTCAAGAAAAATCAAATTAAGCCCTAACTTATATTATTTTTAAAGGGGTAAAAACTATTTTATAATATATATGTTGATGCATAAATACACAAAAGACCTAATAAAATAAATCTTGTGCCTATAAATAACATGAGTGCAACAGCTATCCATGCAGACTCAAATAGGTGTGCTATGTGAGCAACTCGAATACTAACCATAGTATTGCTATTCGTGTCCTGGTTTTCCAAAATTGTGAACAACTTGGGTAAAGTTCCAACCAACACAAAGTATAATCGTCCTTTAATTTACACAGTAATTTCATTTCAGGAAAATTCAGTTGGTAAAAAAGTGCTTGCAAAACAGCCTTAATTCTAGGCTCAGAAAATTATAAATGGGTTTCTCACCTACATAAATGGCGGGTAGGATATTTGAATTTTGTTTGAGAAATAAGTCAATACTTCATTTTCAAGGACAGTCACACACATTTGCATGGCACCTAACTTCCCTGGACCCCAAATCACTAAATTCCAACAGGGGCCCATGAATTTTGACAATCAAAAATGGTTCAGTAAATTCCCAAAATAACCCCTAGAGGGCAGTATCTTCCTCTGAGAATCATTGATCTAGACTCCTGAAAAAATAATTCTTCTCCCTTGAGCTTTATTGTCTACTGTTTGTGAGACAAACGGAGCCACATCATAAGCACAAATAGCTTACCCAAATCAACTACACGTGCTTGGGAAAAAAAATAAATATAAAGAAAATAAGATTTCTAGTGGGTTTTTTTTTCTTTTAAATTCAACTTAGTTTTGCCTCTTTCTAACTGGAATTATTCAGTATGTACTACTTTGTATCTGGCTTCTTTCACATAACATGATATTTTTGAGATTAATTTATGGTATATGTATCAGTAAATTGTTGTCCTTGTTTGAGTAGTATTGTATTGTATTGTATGGATATAACTCAATTTATCCGTTCACATGTTGGACATTTGGGTTTTTTCTGCTTACGGGCTACTATGAATAGAGCTGCCATAAACACAGATAAAGAAATCTCTGCATAGACACATATTTAGACATGTGTATACATCTATTTAATTTTATAAGTCACTCTGCACCAGTTTTCCCAGTTGTGGAGTGGCCATCCTTGTTATATTCCCACCAGCAATGTATTAGCATTTCAGTTGCTCCATATCCTCGTAATCTTGCTATGGTCAGTCTTTTTTAATTATTCTGGTAGGTGTGTGTGGTATCTCATTTTGGTTTTAATTTATGTTTCCCTGATGAATAATTATATAGAATATCTTTCCATAGACTTATTGGCCACTTATATAGCTTCATTTGTAAAATGTCTGTTCAAATATTTGCCACTCTATTAGTGGATTGTCCTTTTCTTATTGATTTGTAGGAATCCTTTATATATTGTGGATATGAGTTTTTTGTCACATATATGTTTTGCAAATAAAGCAATAACAGTCCAAACAAGCTGGAGGATTCCCATCTTGAGCCAATGCCAAAGTGAGCGAGAGGTGGGAATTGTATTATTCCCTATGCAGGGAAGGCATCTGGCCTCCCACTGCATTGTGTCATTCCACTGTGGAAAGAATTTCACACAATTGGTCGCTAAACATAACCAACCACTTCCTTTAGTGCTTCACCAGAGAAATTCGATGCATTCCATCGATGGAGGAAAACTTGCTGCGCATGTCAGTCTCCAAAAGGGCACCTTTCTGAGCATTTTTCAAGGGTAGTTTGGGCCATATGTGATTGCTGCCTGGCTCTCGGACTTAAAACTAGCCCTAGCATCATAGCAATTCCACTGAACACTCTACCTCTGAAAAACCATGTGGAAAAGGGAGTGGGGACAGAAGTCAGGGCACCCAATGCCCGCCTGAACCCCCTGCAATATCCACTTTTATAGCCTCTTTCTTCTTTTCCTTCCCTGCACACACAAAGTTATCTACCTTATCAGCAGAATGAGAAACTACTCTCTTAGAAGAATCTCTGATGTATGTGAAAATGCTTTAAATATAGACGTAAGAATATGTACCAAAATGCTAACAGAGGTTATGAAAGAGTGGCGAATATTTTGAGTTTTATCTATACTTTCTTATTTTCCCACAATGTGTTTTAAACATACTACTCAAGTTATGAAAATTGGAAGCTTTTCGAGAAATTTCAGGAGGAATTTTAGTGCTAAAAATCTTGTTTTGGAAGAATATCTAAGCACATATGGAAATATTTATGATACATTGACAAGTTAAAAAAATAAGACACAAAATATCTACAGTTTGATTCCATTTTATTTTTATCGCATTTTACATATTTTTTATCTCTGGGTATTTCTGTGCAGTGAAAATACTGGTCATTTTAGATTTTTTATATTTGGGTCTCTGGTTTTTTAAAGTTTTTTTCCAATGAACAAGGATTCCTTTTACAATTAGAAAAAAAATGCTGTTTTAAAAGTAAGAGCGATGCTGGGAGACAAAATTGAATAGAGAATTAGGGTAGACATCTAGCTTCACCACTTACTAGTATGTGACTGGGCAACTCACCTAACTGAGAGCCTCAGTTGCCTTATAGAAAAGGCAGGGATAATAATACATGACTGTGAGAAGTGAGATATTTGTAAAACAATTGATACTTACCAAAGGGTAGCTGATATCACCACTATCTCAGCCATTCCTCCCTGAGTAGTGTCTGTGTTCTGAAATACTACTTCTGAGCACCTACCCAGAGCAAAAATTCCTTCTCTTGCACCCCCCCACCCCGTCCCCTGGCTCACTTTGCACCCCCTCCAGTGTCAGGCGGCTCCCTTTCTCCCAAAACTTCCGCATTTACACTGGCCTGCCCTACCAACGTGTGGCTATCTTTCCATCTTGGAAACAGCCTTGATTTGACATCCAAAGATTTCAGTCCAAGCCCTGGCTCTGTCCCTGGGGAGCTGTACGACCTTGGACAAGTCACTTTGCCTCTGTGGGCTTGCAAGCGTCACCCAGGAGGTATTTTGAGGAATCCTCCACCCTGGAATCGCATTGCCTTTGGCTTTTGGGGTGCATCTTCATGACTTAGGAAGTTGGATATATGCGTAGATGAGGATCTGTTTGAACACCAGGTGGAAACAGCTGCACGTGTGTGAGGTTCAAGTTTCAGAGAACTATCGTGTGTGTTGGCCTTGGCTTCAGCCCCCAGAAGGCCAATGGCTGCCTCTGACATGATACACTGAGACAAACACAGCGTCACTTCTGTCCCAGTCCTGCCAAAAACGCACACGCTGAATCCAATCACAACAAAACATCAGACAAACTCAAACTGTGGGACATTCCACAAAATAACTGTCCTAGGCTCTTCAAAAGTGTCAATGTCATAAAAAACAGAGGAACTGCTCTACATTAAAGGAGATCAAACAACTGAATAATGAATGATCCAGGGATTTTTCTTTTGCTGTAAAGGACTTCATTGGAATAGTTGGTGAAATCTGAGTAAGTTCTGAAGATTAGACAATAGAATTTTGTCAGTGTTCATGTCTTGATTTTATAATCATATTGCATATGGTTATATAAGAAAATGCCTGTTTTTAGGAAAAACCCACTGACATATTTATAATAGGTACAAAGGAGCATCATGTCTGCAATTTACTTTTGAACAATTCACAAAAGATGTATATTATATTTTTTAATATATTTAAAGAGAGAGAGACAGAGAAAGATAAAGGTGGGAAAATGTCAATATTTGGTAAAAAACTGGGTGAAAGGTCTGTGGGAATTCTTTGTACTATTCTTGCAGCTTTTCTGCAAGAAAGCGGAATTATGTGGAGGAGGATAAGAAGGCCAGTGGTGTGCATTTTGCTCAGTGGAAGTGACAGCAATTGGAGCTGTTTCATTTCCTGAACATTTACAAAGTGCCAGACAAATGCATCTGACCCCACAGCTACCTCATTAGCAGCTATCAATATGCCATTTTGCAGAGAAGGAAGGTGACAATCCGACTTGGGAAGTGACTTGCCCCAGGTCACATGGTCTATGGCCTGCGCATGGCAGAGCTGGGGTATGAACTTGAGTCTGACCTGCCTCCACGCCCCCCACTCCCAGAGGTCACCGCCATCCTCATGGCAACGTCACAAAGCCACTGACGCTACATTGGAGGCTGTGCAAAGGCAACATAGCTGCTTCATTCTTTCTAAAACAACTGAGGGGGAGGGGTCAGAGTGCAGAACTAAATTTAGCTCAGTTCCGTTTAAAACTTGGTCTATTCCAACAATTTAAATATTCTCTTGTGGTTTCTTCCATTCAGAGAGGCTTGGCCTCTTTGCTGTAATTGCTCAGTCTTTTAGGTTTCCCTCCTCCCCCTGCTTCCTCCAAGTATGAAGGCTGGGGTAGGAGATGGAGTAGAAGGAAGGGTGAGGAGATGTGATGGCCCATGCTGGCTGGCATTTGCTGGGGTCCTGGCGGCTTGGTCCTGTCACTGGGAATGTGCACTGGCTTTCCAGCTACAACCTGCTGCTGGTGAACTCGTCTAGTCCCTGTCATTGAAGCCTAGTGGGGATACCAGGCCGATGGCACCTCGTGTCAGCTCTCGTGGCTCTGTTGACCTCTCTGGGGTTCTTATCTGTCCTCTTTCGAGGCTCTAGGTCTCTACTTCCACCTCATCCCCACCACGGTGGGCCCTAAAACAGTCCATTGCCTCTCAGTTCTCCATCCAGACCACACAGGAACGAAGGGAGGGAAGGAGGGAGGGAGGGAAGCAGGACTGACAGCCAGCTGGTACACCTTGACATTAAAATAATCCAAGGCTTCCGTCCAGGTTGGTAAACAGCTGTTGCCCAAGCCCCTTCTTTCCCCCCTCCTCCACTCCAACTGCCTCTGGTGTATCTCCGGGTCCCTCTCATGCCAGAAACTAAAGGGTTAATTGCTGCTGCAGCAGGTAGTCTCCAAGACCCAGCCACCTAGGATTTTGAATGTCACTACCTCTTTCTTAGCCTGACCACACAGAGTCCACTCTCTCACTTGGGCTGGGCCACGGCTACCCAGAACAGCTGTCCTCTCTGAAGAGCTCAAAGGACAGTGGATGAGAGTCCTTCTGTCCCTCAACTTACCCAACACTCCTGCCCCTTTCTAGGTTCAGTCTCAGGGAGAAGGCAGCAGACACTGGGGGTCTTCCCAACTCCCATTCTCCCAAGCTCAAGCGTGCCAGAGAGCTGGAAACGCTTAATCCTTTCTCCCCGACCTCCCTCCCATCCGGAGTGGCCACACGGTACAGCTCAGGCCCATGAGATGTCTGCAGAAGGCTGCTGAGGGGGTTCCAGGGAAAGTTTGGGCTCTCTTGATAAAGGGAGAAACAGAGCCCATACCAACCTTCCTCCCTCTTCCTGCATTAAACAAGGACAAGAGGCCTGATGTTTCGGAAGCCATGCTGTGAGCCAAGAGGATCCCAGACATGCTTGCCTGGCGTGGGTGCTGGCACCTCCACCACACTTCTTTTTACACGAGAAAAATAATCCCCTGCAAGTTGAGTTTCCTGGTTTTTCAGCCCCCCCCCGCCCCCCCACACACACATAACCCTAACTGCCCCGGGGTGATGAGCCTGCGTGTCTACTGGCCTCCCGTACTCTGCTCACTTTGCTCCCTGCCCTTCTGTCCCCACAGGTCCTTGGGCCTGGAAAAGACAGACATGCCCTCCACCACCTCTTCCCACTTACATGAAAACTGCTTTCATAAAATTCTTACAGTTCTGTCCACCTAGGCAGACTCTTGAAATGCTAACATAGCAGATAAAGAAATCTAGAAGAATCCTTTCACCCTCAGCAGGGCCTTTCAGGTCACACCATCTCACCCTGAACGTCAGAAGCTTATTATTGGCTCTACTATTATGAATTCTTATTACCAGCTATTATAATAATATTAACTCTTTATATTATTGATTTGTTATTAACGCTACCTTTCTTTTTGCACTCCTTCTATAAAATGCTCATCTCTCTCCCTCTTTTTTTTTTTTTGAGACAGAGTCTCGCTTTGTTGCTGTGGTGTCAGCCTAGCTCACAGCAACCTCAGACTCCCGTGCTCAAGCGATCCTCTTGCCTCAGCCTCCTGAGTAGCTGGGACTACAGGCATGTGCCACCATGCCCAGCTAATTTTTTTTCTATATATATTAGTTGGTCAATTAATTTCTTTCTATTTTTAATAGAGACAGGGTCTCACTCTTGCTCAGACTGGTTTCGAACTCCTGACCTCGAGCTATCCACCTGCCTCGGCCTCTCAAAGTGCTAGGATTACAGTCGTGAGCCACCGCGCCTGGCCGCATCTCTTGATATTATAATTATCCCCATTTTATGGATGAGGAGGCTGAGGAGGCTTACAGAGGTTGAGTCATGTTTCCGGAGTTGGACAGAGAGGCAGTGATGTGACCGGGACCAGACCCATTTACAATGGTCACTAATGCCCACGCTCCGCAGGCACCTCCCTCCCCAGACCATCTCTCCCACATCCTGGACCTTGCCCCCTCCCCAGGCAAAGAGGAGCAAGGATGGGTAGGCAGAAAGAAGCGACAGCTGGTAGCATGTGTTTTATTGAACAGCGAGGGTGCTGGCCCCAAAATCAGCTAGTCATACTCAGACTTGGTGACCGGCATAGGCTTGAATTCGTAAGAGAGACAGCACAGGGACCCATCCGGGCACAGGTGCATGTAGGATTCCTGCCTTGTGCAGTAGGTTCGGCAGGCCCCTTGGCCCCTCCAGCACCGTTTGAATTCACTTCTCCCTGCGCAGAGGAAGACCACAGGTCACAGAACAGCCCATGGGTCACAGGTTAGACCACTGATCTCGAGTCAGGTCACGGACTAGACCACACTGGTCACAAATTAGCTCTCTGGTCATTTGTTAGACCACTAGTCATAAATGAGGGTTCTAGTTACAATTTAGACTACAGATCTTAGTCCAGGTTAGTCCACAGGTCATAAGTTAGACCACTGGTTAAAGTTAGAGACTAATTTCTTGTCCAGATAAAACCACACACCAGGTATACTCTAAGCACTTTTCTTAACAACACTATATGAGTATAGTTAACCTTACTGCAATCCCTGCTATACAGGTAAGGAAACTGAGGCTCAGAGAGGTTAATAAACTTACCCAAGGTCACACAGCCATTAAGGAACAGAACTAGGATTCAAACCCAGGAAATCTGACTCCAGAATCCACACTCATAACCATCACACAAACTGTCCCAACACATAGGGATCTGTTTAATGTCAGGCTTCAGTGAGAGAGTTTCCAATGATGAGTCGTGGAAAAGGTAAGAGGTTGGGAAACACATCCTATACCCCCTCCAAGGGTCTTTGGTCACAAGATGGGATGGAGCCTCTCTTTCGTTTATTCATTCAACAAATATGCAGAATTGGAATTACCACAATGAACAATACGGCCATGGCTCATGCCCTCAAGGAGCTCCCAGCTGGCAGGGAAAGCAGTTGAAAAGCAACGAAATAAATACAACAAATAGATTTCGTGGTAAGTACCACAGAGGAGATTATCAGGGTACTGTGATGGCCAATTGGAGTGAATGGGGGAAGGGGAGGAAAGACCAGGACTCAGACAGCCTTGTCTGTTACAGTGACATTTCTAGACACATGGCCCCAGACCAGCAGAAAGCAAGCAGCTGAGAACAACTAGACAGTCTTCCCCACATCTGCCTGGATTAAAAGAGATCCCACATAATCCTCAAATGATGGATTTGGGCTGTCTTGGGCCTATCCACAGGTTTTATTCAGCCCTGCCAACCAGCCCATGCTTCCTTCCGCCTTGGCAAGGTAGATGTTAAAATGGTACAGTGCCTCAAAAGCTCCATGAGACGAAGAATCCACACCCTGAAGAGGGTGTGCAGTATGATGGGTAACGGTGCAGCGTGAAGCCAGCTCAGACCTCTTGGGTCCAGATTCCAGCTCGGTCATTTCCCAGTTGAGTGAACTTGGCCTCATGTTCCTCATCTGAACAGCTATCTTTCAGAAGAGAGCAATAGGATCCTTTTACCACCTGGCACATAGTAAATGCTCAATAAATAGGAGGTGAGATTATCAGAATCATGGCCTAAATAGCTGGAACAACCAGGGCTTATTCTAGATAAATACCTCACTTTCCAGATAAAGAAAGGAAGAAACTTGCCCAAGCTCCCTTAGCCTCTAAGTGGTGGGTCTGGAACCAGAACCCCAGACGCTGAGTCCCAGGCAAGGACAATTCCTGGAATGAATACTCTTAACACAGCATCACACTTGAGCTTCCCAATCACCCCAAGATCCAGAGTGGCTCTTTTCTCCTGCATGATCTGCTCTCCCCTCCTCATCTCTTAGATTCCATTTCCCACCAATTTCCGCTGTGTTCCCCGCTCCAGCCCACCAGTCTCCACTGCCACTCAGAGGCGGCCATCCCCTCCTGCTTCAGGGCCTTGGCCACTGCTGCTCCCTCCGCCTGGAACAATCTTCCCTGTCTCCCCACTGTATTCAGAGCTCTGCTCAAACCCACCTTACGTAAAATGATAAGAGTGCTGGGATTGACTTCAAAACAATTCACTGGGGAGGAGGAGGAGGCAGAAAACAGAACAGGATTGGTTCAAGTTGGTAATTGTTGAGATTGAGTGTTGGGTACATAGGGGTCCTTTATACTATATTTTTTTTTATTTCTGTTGGAAATTTTCTAAAATAAAAAAGGTGTTTTCAAAAAACTCATATCATTACATTATTCTCTATTTTTGCATAAGTTTAAATTTTTCCACAATAAAAAAATGTTTAAATTCACCCTGTTTATTATCCTCTCTACTTTTGTGTATATTTGTAACTTTCCAAAATAAAAAGTTTTCAAAAAGCAAAAGACCTTATCAGAGGCCCTCCCTGACCATCCCATCAGCTTTCCCACCAACCCACACAGGCCACTCTAATCCCCTACCTTGCCTTTCCTTTAGCACTTACCACCACCCGACATGTTATGTGTTTAATCTATTTATTTTCTATCTCCACAAACTAAAATGTCAGCTCCATGAAAAAAAAGGACCTTGTTTTCTTTCACTGCTAGGTCCCAGCAATCATGACAGTACCTGACTCACAGTAAATATTTTTCAAATGAATATTTAGAGAGGGAAGCCCATCATACAGATTAGGAAACTGAGGTGCAGGCCGATTTGGCAACTTGTTCTAAGCTGCCCAGCAAGTCAGTGGTGGGGCCAGAACTTAAATGTGGATCTAGGTCTCTCTCATGATCCAGGGCCCAAGAGGCTAGTCCTCATTTTTACACACACACACACACACACACACACACACACATACACACACACACACAGGTGATGTTACCTGGTGGCACATGACCCAGGACCAGGAGAGCCACAATGAGCAGAAGCAGCTGTGCCATGGCCACGGGCTCCTGGGGAGACTGCTGGGGAGAACACAGGAGAGGAACGGAGTGTGCTGAGCCTGGCTGCCTTTGGCCCAGCCTTTATTGGGCTGCAAATAAAGGCAGGGCCGTGGGCAAAAGATCTAAGTGGGAGGATGAGGCCATGTGGTCCCCAGGCTGCTCGGGCTCCCAGCCAGCTATGTGGGAACTGGTCAGCCGCACCCTCTGGAGGCTATGGAGCTCTGAAACTGGGGGCAAAATTTTCTTTTCCTTTTTCTTTTTCTTTTTTTTTTTTTTCTTTTCTTTTCTTTTTTTTTTTTTTTTTTGAGACAGAATCTCTCTGTTCCCCTGGCTAGAGTGCCGTAGCCCAATTTTTGTTCACTGTAACCTCAAATTCCCAGGCTCAAGTGATCTTCCTACTTCAGCCTCCTAAGTATCTGAGACTACAAGCGTGGGCTACCACAATCGGCTAATTTTTTTACTTTTTTCAGAGATGGGGGGGGCTCACTATGTTGCCTAGGCTAGTCTTGAACTCCTGGCCTTAAATGATCCTCCCATCACAGCTTCCCAAAGTGCTGGGATTACAGGTGTGAGCCACTGCACCCAGCCTAGGGGACGGAATTTTCAGAGGCAATGCCTGGCATCAGAAACCGAAATCTTCCCCACTTAGAGAGTGGGAAAAGCCTTCATTTGAGAGAGACCCGAAATCTCAGCATTTTCCCCTAATTGCTGTGAGACCTTGGACGAGTCACTTAACATCTGTGAGCCACAGGCTGTTGTCTATGAAACGATGACAAGCCTCCCTTGCAACGTTAATAAATGAGGGTTTCCCTTTCTAATGTCAAGGAGATGGGACCGGAAATTACTGGCCTATTTAAACGAATATGAATTTAGATCTACTCTAAAACTGGGAAGAGTAATAGTATCTACCTCACAGAGAGTAATGGCTACCTATCTTGTTTAGAGGATTAAATTAAATAATACAGTGGCTCTCAAAGTGAGGTTCCCAAAACAGCAAGCAGCAGCAACACCTGGGACTTTTTAGAAAGGCAAATTCTCTAGCCCTACCCCAAACCTACTGAATCAGAAGTACTGAGATGGGGTCCCAGCAAGCTGTCACTTGGTGATTTTCACATGCAGCAATGCTAAAGTTTGAGAAGCACTGAGACAATAAATGCACAAAGCTTAGAACAGTGTCCAGTACACAGGAATCTAAGTTGCATCATGAAAGATGAGTTGGGGGAAGGGCATCCCAGGCAGAAGGAACAGAATGTGCCTGAAATACTGGGGCATGGGCAGAGCAAGGCTTGCTACAAGGAGAGGGCGAAAAGCCCCTGCAGAGGACATCATGGGCCTTCAATGCCAAGTTCAGGCTTTTGTACTGTAGACAACCGAAAGTTTTTTAGCATGAGTGTAACCTGTTCAGATTATGGCTTTAAATAAAGAAAGTGAAACCAAAGGGGGGAGTTGACTTGCCTAAGTTCACACAGCAAATGAGTTGCAGAGCTGGGACTGGAAGCCAAGTCACCTCACTCCCAGACAACGAAGGGTGCTGCCCCCTCACAGCCCATCTAGCAGGTAAGAAAGGGAAGTTCAGAAGGCCAAGCCAAGAAGGAAGCCAGGCGTGAGAGGGTTCAGTATGTGCCCAAGACCTGTGAGGGCTGAGCCAGTCGGCCATGCTGCCGTGGGAGTTCTTCCAAGAGGGACACCTGGACCCCCTCAGCCATGACTATGACCCCCACCCACAGGTACAGCCTCGTCTCCTTCAAACCTTCAAACCTAAAGGAAGGCACCCCACTCAAAGAGCCTGAATCCTAGCCTATTGGATAGCCAACTTGTCTTCTCTTACAAGATCAGTCTCTTTCCTCCTCTTATATGCCCAGGAAGACAAAAAAAAAAAAAAAGCCCACGAGTGAGTGATAGAAACGGACAGTAGGCTGAAAGCAGAAACCTGAGTCCCAGGCCCAGCTAAGCCTCGATTGAAAAAAAAAAAAAAAAAAAGCCCACGAGTGAGTGATAGAAACGGACAGTAGGCTGAAAGCAGAAACCTGAGTCCCAGGCCCAGCTAAGCCTCGATTGGCAAATGAATATATGAATGTATGAATGAATGATGCCAAAATAAGATATTCAATGCAGACTTCCTGAACTCTCTCTTCGTCCAAGACACCTCCCAGAATTAATTCTCCATCCAGAGCCGAGCTTCCCAAAGTGGGGTCCACCATCTATCTGCATCAGGATCATTTGGGGCACTTGTTTAAAAGGCAGACTCCCGACCCCACTCCAGGACGCTGAATCTGCCTCTCTTGGAAGGTGGGACCTGGGAATCTAAACATTTAAAAGTTCCCCAAGTTCTTTTCCTGAGGGTTAATGCCGGTGCGCCCATTGCTGGAGTGGACAGAGGTGGACGCAGACCGTGATCCGGACCCAGGAATGCAGAGCTCCCGTCCTGCCCCCTCTGCTCCTGCACCGCCACTCACCCGGGGGGCGGGCATAGGACTGGAGGCCCCAGGTCGGCTGAGCTCTGCACTCTTAGAAAAGTCATCGAGCGGCCAAGGCCTTGGGGCGGGGACCCCGGGGCTGCCCTAATGGGGCGGGGCTGGATGGGGCGGGGTCGCGGCTCCTCCCCTGGCCCAGGCGGCGGGGCGGGACCAGCCGGAGGGGCTGCGCGCGGACACCCCGGAGCACCCAGCAGCGGAGGCGGCGGGGGACCCTGGACCCCTCCTCACGGCCAGGTAAAGCTCCGTGCAACTCGCCGCCAACTCGCTCAAGTTGGAGCAGAGTTCGCCGGGCGCCTGCATGGGGGCTCTGCAGCGCAGGCAGAAGCAGGGGCCCTCGCCACAGCGTCCCGAGGGTGAGGGGCTTCAGACCTAGGCCGGGAGGGTAGGGTAGCCCCGGACAAGGAACCCCCTCGCCAGGGTCAAGGACTCATACCTGGGATCCGGGGCTGGAAAAGCTGGGACCCAGACTCCAGGAATGTGTCCCGAGCCCTATGGTCTCCCCTCCCCGTCCCCTGCCAGGACCCTGTCCTGTCACCAAACCAGGAGCCTGACCGGCTGGCAGCTCCTGCCCCCAAAAGCAGCCGGAGGCCATAGCGCCAGCCGCTCCTGAATTTTTCACGCAGGGGGCGGGCCGGACACGCTGTTCCCATGGCACCAGGGCACTCAGGTTACAGCCGGAGGGAACCCCCAGAGCCCCCTCGTCCTTCTGGGGTGCCAACTCACCTTGCCCTGCCTCTTCCTCTGACCCCATGGGATTGGGCAGCGGAAGTAAATTCCCAGGGCCCCTCAATTCTCCTCTGCACCCCCAACCCAGAGCCGTGTGAAAGGGACGTGGGGAAGGGGAGGAGGGGGCTGTTGAGATCCTTTCATAGTGAGGGGCTCAGGTTCTGAATAGGAGGGCAGATCTGTGTACACGGGGAGGGTGTGCCTGTGTGGACACCCCACCTCGCTGCCCCACTGCCCCTCTGTGTGCCATCCCCGCGCAGGTCGTCCTTGGGCATGGGAAATGGCCTCTGGGCATGCATGCCGCGTGTTCACTTCCTCGCCCATCCCTTGCAGCCCGATACAGGCTTGTCCTGAACCTGAAGCCCCCACCCCACGGAGCTGAGGTTTCTCCTCCCATTGGAACAAAAGGGGGCTCTGGAGGAAGCCATTTCAGCAGCTCATCAGGACCTGTAGAAGAAGGGCTCAAAGCAACCAGCTCACCGCCCATTCCTCCTTCTCTCAGAAGGAAGGACAGAAGGAAGGAAGGCAGGAGCAAAGCCCCTTCTACCAGCCATGACACTAAACACCCAGCAGGAAGCAAAGACCCCCCTGCGCCGGCGAGCCAGCACTCCACTGTCCCTGTCCCCCAGGGGCCGCCAGCCTGGCCTCCTGAGCACAGCACCCTCCACTCAGTCGCAGCATCCCCGGCTGGGCCAATCAGCCTCCCTCAACCCTCCCACCCAGAAACCTTCGCCTGCCCCTGAAGACTGGTCCTCTGAATCCAGCGACTCCGAAGGCTCCTGGGAGGCCCTGTACCGTGTGGTGCTGCTTGGAGATCCCGGCGTGGGGAAGACCAGCCTGGCCAGCCTCTTTGCAGGGAAGCAAGAACGGGACCTCCATGAACAGCTGGGAGGTAGGAGCCCTGTGGGCTGGGCTGGGATGTGGCAAAAGGAGTGAAAGCTCTGTCACCAGGGGCACAGGGCTGCCAAGAACAGTTGTACAAGTCACGTACTGTTCAATTCTAAGGGGCATCATTCACATAGACTATGAAGTGAACGAAGCCCCCCTAGAGTTGTTCAGGGCACAACCTGCACAATGGCCCATAGGAGGGAAATTCCTTCAATAGGATGAGAATTTTGCCAATTTTTCATGGATGAGAGGTATGTGATTCATTCCCATGTCATAAGGGGAGCAATTCTGAATTCCACGAATGTCAAGAAATAGTGGACTTCCACCCAGCTCAGAAACCCCCAGCCCCAACGCCCCCTGACTCTCAGATCCTCCCAGTCCCATAGACACCCACCCATGGCCTCCAACACCTACAGCAGAACTAAGATCCTCCCCAGAGTGGAGACTCCCAGGCCCAGGGTTGCTTTATTCCCAAGAAATGCAGAGCTGAGAGGGTCAGGGGACCCAGGATGATGGGGTACAGGGACAGAAAAAATGAAGACAGGCCCCTAAAGGACTGGCTGGGAGGATATGGTTTGAGTGGGGAGGGGTGTTGGTTAAAAGTAGAGAAAAGGTGGGGACACTCTGGCACTCTGGCCAGGCCCTTCTCCAGCCTTGACCCCTCCTCCACGAGTGAGAACCGATACGTGTTACAGATAGGGAGACTGAGGCCCAGTGAGGATAACATGACCTGCCTGACGCATACACTAAGCCAGAGACAGAGCAGGACTGGGAGAATTCCCAGCCCGCCTTTAACCCCACGACCCCATGGTCATTCAATCAACCAAACCAACTTTCTAGCACCTGCTATGAGCCAGGCCCTATGCAGGCAGCTGGGGAGACATGGGCTCCTCGTGGAGCTTCTTGACCTACCAGGAGAGACAGACAGCAACCGAGTGTGGTGAGCGCTTCCAAGGAGCAGTGGGGGGGCAGTGTGACTGAAAAGGGGGCTAGGGTGCCCCACACCCTCCTTGGGCCTTCCCCTCCTCCCTGAGATGCAGCTCTCCCCTCAGTTGCAGAAGATGTGTATGAGAGGACCCTCACGGTGGATGGAGAGGACACCACACTGGTGGTCGTGGACACCTGGGAGGCCGAGAGACTGGTATGGCACTGCAAGCAGGATTTGGGGGGGGGGTGCTGAGCCTAATACCAGTCTCCTTCCTGTCCCCTCCTGGGACCCTACAGAGCAGGGGCAGGATAGGGGCTATATTCAGCAGCTCCCCAAAACTCACAGCTCCTAAGGAGCCTTTCCAACCAAAATCAGAAGACCCTCGTGACCATGACCCCTTTTCTCACTCCACTGATCCCCTCCCAACAACCAGGGCACAGCATGCTGCTCCTCTTGCAGACCTTCCCATCGTTATTACCACCCCAACCCACCCCACCCACCCACACTGTGCAGAAGAAGGAACACTGGATTTGGCACCAAAGTGCCTAAAGCTGAACCCCCTATCTTTTTCTTACTAGTTGTGTAGCTCTGTGCAATTGACCTACCCACTCTAAGCTTCGGTTTTCTCATCTGACAAATGGGTCAGTCATTCCTGCCTCTCTTATCAGCTAGTTTTTAAAAGTTCTAATACAATTTCAGAGGTGAGTCTAGTTTGGAGCATGAAAAAATGCTGAACAGGAGTAAAGAATTGTAAATGATAATTATTATTTGGTAGCTAGTAAAAAAGGAAACCAAAGGGTGTCCTTCCCTAACCTCTTCCAGAGCAGGAAGAGAGCAACAGTCAGGAACCTGTGCCTACTGTGATATATATTGTTTGGGTTTTCTTTTCTCTTGCTACACAGGTAGTACATGGTCATGGTAGAACTTTGAGGAAATACACCTAAGCAAAGAGAAGGATCTAAAAATCACCTGGGATCCCATCTCTCTAAGGGGTAGGCCCTTCCCCCTAACACTCAGGGAGGCCCTGCCCATGGGGTGGGGCTTAGAAGGACAGAGTTGGGTGATTGACAGCTCCCCTGAGAGGCCCAAAGAATAGGGATGAAGGAGCTATGTGGTCCATTTAACAAGCAAAAAAGGAAACACAGGCCAGCCACAGTGGCTCACACCTGTAATCCTAGCACTCCGGGAGACCAGGGCGGGAGGATCACCTGAGATCAGGAGTTCGAGACCATCCCGAGCAAGAACAAGACCCCATCTCTACTAAAAATAGGAAAATTATCTGGGCATGGTGGCACACACCTGTAGTCGCAACTACTCAGGAGGCTGAAGCGGGAGAATCGCTTGAGCCCAGGAGTCTGAGGTGCTGTGAGCTAGGCTGATGCCACGGCACTCTAGCCCAGGTGACAGAGTAAGTCTCTGTCTCAAAAACAAACAAACAAACAAAAAAAAAAACTACAAAGGAAACATGAGTCCAAATGAGCATGAGGATGATGATGATGATGATTGTCATAACAGCAGCCAACATTTATGGAGCATCCTCCTCCTAAGTGTCAGCCCCAGGCTAAGCACTGCATATATATTATGAATTCAGTCAAAACAAAAACTATCAGTGAGCCTTCTGATTCCCATTCTACTGATGAGGAAACTAAAGCTCCGAAAGGTTAAATACATAATGTGTCTGGAGCGCTCAGATAGCAAATGGGGTTCAAACCCAGATCCATGAAACCCCAGAGACTGCACTCTTACACACTAGGAATGCCCCCAGCCAGGAGCGTCACCTCCTGACCCTTCAGCTGAGGTTTCACTCCTTCACCAATTCATTTGTTCATTCAGAAATACTTGCTGGGTGTCTATCATGGGCCAGGATGCTGGAGACATGGCAGTGAATAAGTAGACACGTCCCCTGGCCGCATGGAGCTCACATGCTGGTAAGGGAGGGCCTACTTTTTGGTGCAGTTGAGAACCTATGGGGCAGTGTCCAGTGAGTTAAGGAGAGTAATCAGATTGGGGTCCCACTGGGGAGACAGGGGAGGAAGGGGACTGGACTAGAAGGCAGGAACCAGAACTCAACACCCAGCTTGCTGTGTTCTTGAGCGAGTTTTCTCATCTTTCCAGGACTTGGTTTTCCAACCAGTAAAATAAGGAAACTAGACCAGTTTTCCTGGTCAGTGACTTGAAAGGAGGTCCCAAAGAGGGTCCAGGCAGCAACAGCATTAGTGAATTAAGCATCCGTCCTTTTCATCTGTGGGCTGGATGGTATTCGGATGTCAGAGCGGCTGCATCTGACAGGATTGGGTGTGCCTTTGGCTCACCCAGTAATGCCCTAGGTTGGCTGACCATCAGGGGTCACCTGGAGAGTAAAGTATCAAATTCTCAGTCCTCACCCCAGACCTAAGGAATAAAAAGCTCTAAAAGTGAGGCTCTAGAATCTATATTTTTAATCGCACTCCCAGTGAGTTCTTACCCACCAATCCACATACCAACCAGCTTTGTGACCCTGATGCACAGCAAAACCTCTATAAAAGTTTGTGCAATGAATGACCTCCTCCTAAAGTCAGCCTCCTGTCCTCACTTCTTTCTTTTCAATTTTTCTCTTAATTCTGGATTGCAGAAGGCCTAAAGAACTTTCTGGCAGGGCCAAACTCTCCTCAGAAACCAGACAAAGGAGCTGAACAAGCCAAGCCAGAACCCCCCTTAGCAGGAAAGAGAACCAAGGGAATGTTTTGTCTCCAATGCCCTGCCTGCAGAAGTCTCAACGAATGAGACAATACAGTGAGATAGTGTTGTTAGCCCAATTTTTCAAGCAGAGAAACCGAGGCTCAGAGATAATCAATAATTTTCCAAAGGTGACATGGGAATTAAGGCAGAATTTGTCCCCCAAACCTGTCCAAAGTGTAAACCTCAGCCCCATCTCACCTATTAGACCATCCCAGCTCCACCTTTCTCAGCCAGGGTGTAGGCACGCTCTGAGGATGGGCCTTGGGCCCCTCCCCCACAGGATAAAAACTGGAGCCAGGAGTCGTGCCTGGAGGTGGGCAGTGCCTATGTCATCGTGTACTCCATCGCTGACCGGGGCAGCTTTGAGAGCGCCTCTGAGCTCCGCATTCAGCTGCGGCGCACACACCAGGCGGACCACGTGCCCATCATCCTCGTGGGCAACAAGGCAGACCTGGCCCGCTGCCGGGAAGTCTCCGTGGAAGGTGAGCCCTCCCCTCCACCTCCTCTGGCCCCTGTGTCACCGGGGCCCTCCAATGCTCGTCATCTCAGTGACTGCTCCTGCAAATCAGCCCCCACCCTGAAGCTACTTGCTTAAACCTGAAAGCCAAGAACCAATCTTGCCTCCCCTCTCATGCCTGCCTCCCGCAAACCAGTCCCCAAGTCACATCAGGCCCACCTCCATGCATCCCACACCCCCTTCCCTCCACGCCCATAGCCTCTGTGCTCTCCTGGCACTTCCACTTCAGCCAGTCCCAGTACGTTTCTATCAGCCCCCCTTGCCCGCTGCCAGAGTTTTCCAGAACCACAGCTGACCTTGTCACTTCCCTGCATTCCCCTATGGCTCCCCATGCCCTTAATCAGAGACACTCTATCCACCAGATACGATAGGCCCAGGGCCTATAGGCTTTTCAATGCCTTACTTGGAGAACTGAAAGACCATTATTGGGCCCAAAATACAGTGGAAAAATTAGAAATTCAAATTTCACAAAGCTTTGTCTACAAAACATAATATTGCGTCTGCCAGCAACTACGAACCAAAACTTCTAATGTTATATGTAGATTATTTTTACAATGGGGTTGGGAGTATTTTATCAGTAATAAGTTTAACAGCAGATGGAGCCCATAACAATCTTAAAATGGTGCTACTCACAGAGTAAAATCTTTAAAATATGGAAACTGAGACCCACAGATAGAAAGCGAGTTCCAGAGAGTCACCAGCCACTGAGGACTAGGATTCAGGCCCGGTGGCATCCCGGAGGAGGAAGACCCTATGCTTTGTGGATAGATATGCCAAAAACCTGCAACATAATCCCCGGGAGATTTTTGTTAAAACACAGATTTCCAGACCTCATCCCAAACCTACAGAAATAGAATCCCTGAGGGTGGGCCGGGGAAATTCTATTTTAACAAGCTCCTCCAGGTTAATTCTGATGCACCTTTTGGCTGCATCTAATTTCCGATTAGACCTGCTGACTGACATTCAACCTGGCCCCTACCTAGTCCCGGCCTCCCTGGCTTCCCTGCCTCATTCTGCTACTAGTATCAGTCACTAGCCTGTAATCTAATTCCTCAAAGGCCAGTGTGATCTGTCCCTGAGTCCTCCGACATCAGCACCAGGTATGCGTACAGGAAAAGTTGCTTTCCATTGAGGCTGAACACACCTGTTCCCACTTTTATCTCCGCGTTCCGGTTATGGCTCCACCCCGCTCGCCCGACCCCGCCCCCGCAGAGGGCCGCGCCTGCGCCGTGGTGTTCGACTGTAAATTCATCGAGACGTCGGCCACCCTGCAGCACAACGTGGCCGAGCTCTTCGAGGGCGTGGTGCGCCAGCTGCGCTTGCGCCGCCGGGACAGCGCGGCCCGGGAGCCGCCCGCGCCGCGACGGCGGGTCAGCCTGGGCCAGCGCGCCCGCCGCCTCCTGGAGCGCCTGACGGCCCGCAGCGCCCGCCGCCGGGCACTTAAGGCCCGCTCCAAGTCTTGCCACAACCTGGCCGTGCTCTGAGGACACCTGCTTTTCTGGGGGTGCGGGTCACTGGCAGTGCATTCTGGGCCCCACCGACGCCCCCGAGGGGCAGCAGCGCCGCTACCTAGCGCCGGCGTCGTGGGCCTTGCTTGCCCGCCGCGCTGATGAGCGGATCATCGCCCACGGCCAGAGCCTCGGGACCCCCCTGCTCCAGAGAAGCGGTGGACAGACATAGGGCCGAAGCCCCAAGCTGAGCACAAAGTAGGGTTTTTTATGTGGTGGATGTCATTTTGTAAAAATTTCCTTGTCCCTGGGGTCTGGCCACCCCCCAGAAACCCCACCAGACCAGAAGGATGTCCCTTCTGAATGCCCAGACCTCTCTGGGAGTCTTCCAGGGTGTCCTCCTCCTGCCCTCCCGTCTACACTGGCTGCAGACTGGTTTAGCCTGGTGGCCTGGGTGTCAGGGCCAATCAATAAAGTAATTGGATCATTTGTGTTCTCAGGCTCTTCTCCCAATCACTCCCAATTACAGTTCCTGCCCCAGTTCTTTGAGAGAGACAGTGAATCACAACCACAGCTCACTGTGATGACCTGCTATCTTCTCATTAACCCATTTTTTAGATTGTAAATTCACAAAATATCTAGAAGGAATCTCAGCATTCACAATGGCAATATAACCGCTGGTGTTAGGAGATGGCTGTGTACCAAGCAGTCACTGTCACAACTATTAGTTAATCTTCACAACACCTGGGAGGAAGGTGTTACCACTAACCCCATCTTAGTAATAAGGAAACCGAGGCACAGGACAGTGAAGGCTCATGCCCAAGATGTTACAAAACGCTACAGAATCTTGGGGAGTTGGACTTAAAAACGGAATGTGGCACACGATTTAAAGGAGGGGGCATAACTCCATGAAATCCAGTCTATTAATCCCCAGGATAAACCACAATTTAGTCCAACTCACTTGTTTTCCAAATGTGGAAACCGAAGCCTAGAGAGGGAAAGTGGGCACCCTGGGGTCACTCAGCCTCCCCTGGGTGTCCATTTGGCTGTGCGGGAGGAAGGAGGGAGTGAGGCATCCAGCCTGGCTGGGGACAGCATCAGGTCAGGAGTTTCCAGCTGGAAGGGAAAGGGTGTCCCTACTTTGAGAGGAGAACAAGATGCAGACCGTTTGGACCATCGCATCCCTGATGTCTGACACCCCTGCCCCCCACACACACTGCCACCCACCACTCCCGCCCAGACACCTCCGCTGGTTGCTGAGAAAGGCCGCTCTGAGCGAGCCACATCCTCCAACTGCCACTGCCCCCACCCCAGTCTTGCCAGCGGAGCACTGATGGCACTTCTTGCTCCATCCCAACCCCAGGCCAAGGAAGGGAAGAGGAGGAAGGTCTTTCCCCCACCCCAAGTTGTCTCCGGCCTGCGGTCGGTCGAGGGGAGGGGCTGTATCTGTGGAAAGTTGGCAGAGGCAGCCGGCAGCCGGGAGAGTGGAAAAAATGATATCAAACCCGGAAAAATGCAGGCCGGATGGAGGGCTGGAGTCGGCCCTGGGAGGTGAGAGGGAGGGAGACAAGGGGGGAAGGGAAGGCATGGGCAAAGAAAGGAAGAAGGGCCAGGGAGAGAGTGCAGGAGCTGATTTTAGAAAAATGAGGACAATCGCCTTCATTCCCTCCTTTCTTGTCTACAAATATTTATCCAGGGCCTGCTAAGTGCAGGGCACAGTGCCAGGCTCTGGGCGATGCAGTGAACAGAAGGATACTGGCCGCTCCCAGTAGCGCACAGCCTGGCGGGGGAAGCGGACTAGAAAACAAATAAGTGGATAAAATATTAAAGACTGAGAAGGGGCTGAAAATTAGGGTGCTCAGAGAAGATCCCGAAGGTAATTCAATCCAATCCCCCTATATTCACAGATGTGGAAACTGAGTCCAGAGCAGCACGGCAGAGTGGTTGAGGCCCTGGCCCCTGAACCAGGAGGTCTGTGGGTTCAAACCCTGCTCCCCTCCATCTCTCTATGCCTTAGTTTCCCCATCTATAAAATAGGATTCATGACAGTTCCCTCCCTTAGGGTTGTTGTGAGGATTAAATTATTTAAGATGTATAAAGTGCTTAGGATAATTCGTGTGTCTAGGAAGATTGAATAAATGTTGGCTCCCACTATCATACCTTAAGGTCCTGGGGAAACCAGGGTTTGTTATGGGTAAGATGCTCTGAGACTATGATACCGACGGGTTTTAGGAAAATCTCCTTCCCTCTCGAGCCTCAGTTTCTCCATCTTTAAAACAAAGGGATTGACTCTGAACTTGTATCATATATTTATGTACTCACGTGTTTATTCGCTGTCTCCCCAAATGATGGGAAGCTCTACGAGGGCAGGGCCCTCCCTGCGGCTCTGTCCCCACCACCTACAGCAGCACCTGGCTCATAGTAGGTGCTCAGTAAACATTTGTTGCATGGATTAATGAACCAACCTGTAAAGTGGCCCTTCCCATCCTGACTTCTCTAATTCTAGATGTCTTTGAATAAGAAATGGCTGGGAAAACTTGTGAGAAAACTACAATCTCCCTCCTAGGGACACAGCCCATTGTAGTTTAGGAAGTTCTTTCTCATCCATTAAAAAAAAACAAACAAAAAAAAAGCAAAAGAACTAAGTTTGTTTTAACTCTATGTTTAGTGTTGGGCCTCATGCTACTGTTTGGTGCACATTTTCTCATTTCATCGTCGCCACAATGCTCTACTTTATAGGTATTTAATAGATGAGCACACTGAAACTAAGAAAGAGAACTCAAGAAATTTGTCCAAGTCCACAGAGCAAGAAAGGGCCACATTCAGATCAGTGGTGGGGAGTCAGGCAAGAACTGCTATCTTGATTGTATAATTGGGGAAACTGAGGCCTGGAGAGACATGAATTGCCCAAGCACAAGCTCATGTAATAATAACAGCAAATAGTTCCATCACTCTTACTATGTACCAGATGCCATTCTAAGTGTTTTTCCTACATTAATTCATTAAATCCTCAAAACTGGTAATATTCTCATCACCATACCAGTTTTCAGATGGAGACACTGTGGCACAGAGAGGTCCAGGACCCTGCCAAGTTTGCACAGTTAGCAAATAGCAGAGCCAGAATTCAAACCAGGGAAGTCTAGCCCCACAGTACTAAGGGCTCCTGTGTATCGAGCCATTTGTTGGTACAGCAAGCCCAGAGCAGGCTGGTATAAAAGGGAAGGTGTCTTTGTCCTGCCCTGCTGCCTGGGCTGGGGGCAGGGCAGAGAACAAAAGCACATTGAGAGTGTCCTCAGCTGCCAGCTGGGACTTTCCACCTTGAAGGGAGGATACTGTTATGGAAAAAATGATAAAGCTCTAGAAAGATGAGTATCTCCCCAGAGGTCCCCAAGTCTCCTTAGAATCCCTCCTCCTGCTATGGAGGAAGGCTGCAAACCCTGCTGGCCTGGTCCAGATGAGAGGAAGGCCACCTGCATCCAAGACACCCCAGCCAGGCTTCTCAAATACTGAGCCCCACTGGCCTTGGTGGAAAGTTCCAATATTCTCAGCTAGGGCACAAAGTTTCCACTCAGGGACCCCCAAGTAACCAGGTGCAGGCTAGAGCAACCTGGCCTTGGATGATGGAAAATGCACGTCTCACAAGGCCCAGCTCCCTCCTTCCTTCATTCGGTGAACATTGACAAGGGTGTGGGCTCTGCAGGAAGGGAGGGAGGACAGGGAGGGTCACAGCTGGTGGAAACAGAAACTTTGAAGTTCCTGCCCTGGCCAAGAAGGGAAAGGAAAGGTAAATGAGGGGTAGGGGTTGTGGAAAATTCATCTACAACTGCTTTCTACTGATTAAGAATCCCTCAAGTCTGCCATGACCGTATATGACATTAGGCAAATCAAAATATACAGAGTGAAGGGATTAGGGCAGATTCTCCATGTGATTGTCTCTGTCTCAAGAATATTTAACTGTTCTAGTTCAACAGCTTGAAAAAATATACAAGTTCAGTTTCAATTTGAATACTGTTCCCTTCAGTTCGGGGTTCAGTTAAAAATAATACTAATGATGGGATGGGAGCGCTGGGTGCAGCAATGTGTGCAGCTCTCCCCAAGCTCCATCTGGTTCAAGTTCAAGGCTAGGGTGTGTCTGTCGTGGCTTACATTCCCATGCTTCATAGATGTGACAAGATATTGGTAGGAAAGCACAAGATTTGGAATCAGAAGAAACCTTCATTCAATCCCACCTCGGGCACTTGATCTCTGTGCAACTCAGGACCCCCTCTCCTTCATCTTGAAATCAGAGATGATAATTCCTATCCCATAGGATTAAATGAGATTTTTTTTTTTTTTTTTTTTTGAGACAGAGTCTCGCTTTGTTGTCCAGGCTAGAGTGAGTGCCGTGGCGTCAGCCTAGCTCACAGCAACCTCAAACTCCTGGGCTCGAGCGATCCTTCTGCCTCAGCCTCCCGGGTAGCTGGGACTACAGGCATGCGCCACTATGCCCGGCTAATTTTATATATATATCAGTTGGCCAATTAATTTCTTTCTATTTATAGTAGAGACGGGGTCTCGCTCTTGCTCAGGCTGGTTTTGAACTCCTGACCTTGAGCAATCCGCCCACCTCGGCCTCCCAAGAGCTAGGATTACAGGCGTGAGCCACAGCGCCCGGCCTTAAATGAGATTTTTAATACTTAAGAAACACCACTATATGCCACTAGGTAATTTACTTCACTTCTCTAGGCCTCAATTTTCTCATCTGGAAAATGGGCATATTCATGGTATTTCTCTCTAAGGGTTGGTGTGAGAATTCAATCGGATTAGCATTTGTTAGCATGATGCTTTGCACACAGTAAGCACTCAATAAATTGCAGCTCTGAGGCCAAGCGAGGTGGCTTATGCCTGAAATACTAGCACTTTGGGAGGCTGAGGCTGGAGGATCCCTTGAGGCCGGGAGTTAGAGACCAGCCTGAGCAAGAGTGAGGCCCCATCTCTACAAAAAATAGTCTTGTTGTGATGAATACCTAGAGAAGGCCCTCAATTAAAGGGGCTCTGCACTCAGTAGGATGCCAGGGGCATGGGGACACTGTCCCAGCATCTGCCCTTGCCTCCTTCCTCAAGTCCATGCATCTCCCAAGGAGCACCACTTCTTCAAACCTCCACTGAGCAAATCTCTATGCACCTTCTAGAAAACCCTACTCCCTACCCACAAATACAGGTCTGGCCTCAGAGTTCACCTCCTCCCCCAGCAGTGCCTCTCAGAAGCCTGAGTTACTGGGGCTGAGTGAACACCCCAGGTACCCCAGTAGGGCAGTCAAGGGTGCTCTAGCTCTTTCCATCTTAAAGAACAGTCCAGAGTGAGTGTAACCACTCCGAACCCCGTCATCTTCATGGAATGCCCCACTCTATAAATGAGGATAGGTGCTTTTGCACATAATCGTCTAGGAATCGATTGTTAAATCTTACACACACACTTACACATTAATTCTAAAACCAAAACCAGGGATCACTAATTCAAACGCTCACAGAGTCAGACAAGTAATATAAATCAGGAAGTTGACTGAGTGAAGGACAGTAGGAACCATCAAAGTCTGTGGCACACTGATAGGCCCTGGTAGCCCCTGCCCTGCATAAAGGATGGACAGAACTAAGCTGCCTATTAAGCTGTTAAGATACGAACCCAGCATTGCCAGATACCATGTTTCGGTTTTTCTAAGAAAGCCAGATATTTACATGAACTGTCCCAATTCTTAAATAATTATTGCTAGTTCTAATTTTTAAAAACCCTGGGTAGGACATGCAAAACATGTCCACCAGCCAAATTCTAACCGGAAGCTAACAGTTTATGACCTCTCATCTAAACCCAAATAGTGATAGAGAAATGTATTCTCAGCCATCCCCCTGTCTGAAGGTCACCCTTTTTGCTACGCAGTTAGTACGTAATTACAAAGAACAGCTTGTTCCTTTTGTTCAACTCCTCCCTACTTCCCTTTCCAAGAATTCCTCTTCAGGCCTTTTGGGATATCAAGGGTGCCCAAAGCCAGGTGGTATATTTTGTAATTGAACTTTGAATTACAGTAATAATACATTTTTGTTATACAAATAAATCAAAATAGCAGAGACTATATTGTTAACAATCTTTAATGTATTTATCTGTGAAGCTGCCTGCAGCTACACATGATAGAAATCCTTATAAGGACATTTTCTAACAAGATTCCCAGAAGTCGATGGTTTTAGGGTTGATTCATCAGCCCTAAAATATCAGGACACTGGGTCTGCATCTTCATAGTTCTGTAGGTATTTCCCTCATGGTTGCAATGTGGCTGCCACAGTTCCAAGCATCACATCCTCACACCAGTGTCTCAAGCAAAAAAGAAAGGAAAAGATCAGAAAGTTTTGTTTTTATCAAGGAGCAAATTGTTCTCTTAAAAATTTCCCTTCAATGTGCACCATCTGGGGGATGGTCATGCTGGAGACTCAGACTTGTGGGGGGAGCAGGGGAAATTGGCATTTATTGAAACCTTAAAATCTGTACCCCCATAATATGCTGAAATAAAAAAAAATAAAAATCAGGATTAAAAAAAACTTTATGGGAAAAAAAAATTTCCCTTCAGATCTCATTGGCCAAACTGAGTCTTTTTTTTTTTTTAGACAGAGTCTCACTCTTTTGCTCAGGATAGAATGCTGCAGCATCAGCCTAGCTCACCATGACCTCAGAGTCCTGGGCTCTAGCAATCCTCCTGCCTCAGCCTCCTGAGTAACTGGAACTACAGGTGTGCACCAACACACCTGGCTAATTTTTTCTATTTTTAGTAGAGACAGGCCAAGAGAGCCTCTTGCTCAGGCTGGTCTTGAACTCCTGACCTCAAGCGATCCTCCCACCTCAGCCTCCCAGAGTGCTAGGATTATAGGCATGAGCTGCCGCACCAGCCCAGACTGAGTCTTATGGCCACCTCTAGCTGCAGGGGCTACTGAGAAAGCAACTATGTGGCAGAAAGGAATGCCACACCTGCCTCAGGTCAATCATGATTCATCCTCTTGCTGTCCCAAACTTAGTGGCTTCTGTGAGCAAGGGAGAAGTGGGTAAAGGTCATCAGATAGACAAACTTTAGTATTTTCCACAGGACTCCTTCCATCCTCCTTCCAGTCCCACTCCTCTCCCTTGAGGTACTCACTGTCAGCAGTCTGGGGTGCGTCCTTTCAGACTTCTTCATCCCACTTACGTATACATTGTAGCAGACATTTGGCCATTTTTCTTTTCTTCCACACCATAAGAACTGTGATTTTGCTTTGCTGTTCACCCTTGCTCTGGGGAATCAAGAATAAATCCTGATTGCTTTAAGCCAGAGATGAGGTTAAAAAAGGACCTGCAACCCAGCTATGGCCCATGAACTGTGAGGGAAGGTAGGCTGGAGGGTTCTTGAAAAGGCTTCTTTGCTCTTAGAACAGAGCTGGA